TTGTATGTATCAAGCTTTCTCCTTCGGACCACATATTTCAACAGTTTAGATTTGACTCCAAATACTGTGTAAGTGAGTGCTGGTCGGTTACATAAAGCAGACCTGTTTAAGGAACCCGAGGCTCAGTTACCCATTAAAATGCAGAATGGCAAAAATCTAGTCTTGCTAAACATTACCAGCTTTTATATTTAAGTGTGCTTGTGTGTAAAGGGGGTAGGGTGGAGGAATCATGCTGGTGAGAAATGTGGTTTATGGTCAATTTTCTACTTGCTTCCTCTTTTCTCCCCCCTTCTTCCCTTCCGCCCGATGAAGGTGTTAGCTCCCCTATTGGGGTACAGTTCAGGTACTTCACCCATGGTTGTGTGGGAATTCTCCATGTTAGTGCTTAAATCAAAGTGTCATTAAAGTTGACATTAAATGGCATAATGCTGACAAGACAGAAGCCATACTCATTGGCTCCCATCAACATCTTCTATCCTGTGGCTCTGATCTCCTCAACCTCCCTGGCCTATCCCTCAGACTCACCGAACAGGTGCGCAACCTCGGCATCAAGTTCGACCCGCAGCTGTCCTTCCTTCACGACATCCTGTCCTGACCAGGACCATCTTCCTCCACCTCCGCCACATACCTTACCCCAGAGACAGCCAAAATATGCGTTTGTCACCTTTCGAATGGATTTCTCAAATGCCCTCTTTGCCGTTCTCCCCAGCTTCAGGATCCAGCTGATCCCAAACACAACAACAAAAACAAGATTGCATTTATGGAGCCCTTTCATGTCGGGAGGTCGTCTCAAGGCGCTGGACAGTTGGGTCGGGACCCAAGCAGGGGGGAAATGGTCAGGGTGAGGGGAGGGAAGGGAGGGAGCGAGGAGGGGGTAAAGAGTCGAGAGGAGAGCTGAAGGCACGGTCAAAGAGAAAGGTCTTGAGACCGGCCTTGAAGGAGGAAAGGGAGGAGGCGGCGAAGGCGCTGGAGGATGGCATTCCAGAGCCTGGGGGCTGAGAGGCTGAAGGCCCGGCCACCGATGGTAGGGCGGTTGGGGCGGGGGATGTGGAGCAGACCGGAGCCAGAGGAACGGAGGGTACGGGCGTGTAGGTAGGGGGATAGTAGGTCGGAGAGGTAGGAGGGAGCGAGGCCGTGAATGGCCTTGTAGGTGAGGATGAGGTTCTGGAAATTCGATCCTCTGGGTATGGGGAGCCAGTGGAGGCGAGCGAGGGTGAGGGTGAGGGCGAGGGTGGGAGTGATGTGGTCGCGGTGTCTGGTGCGGGACAGTACACGAGCTGCAGAGTTCTGAATGACCTGCAGTGTGGAGGGAGGGCCGGGAAGGCCGGCGAGGAGAGAGTTTCCGTAGTCCAGCCTTGAGGTGATAAAGGCGTGGACCAGAGTTTCAGCAGCGTGAGGGGTGAGGTAGTGCTGTCGTCTGGCGATGTTCCGGAGGTGGTGGAAGGCGGTGCCAGTTGTGGCGCGGATGTGGGGAAGAAAGGACAGCTCAGGATCGAACAGAACCCCGAGGTTCCTGATTGGCTTTGAGAGGTGGAGAGTGCAGCCTTGGATGCTGATGCTGTCAGCTGCCCGCAAACTCTGCTGCCCGCATACTCACCGATACTAAACTCTGTAACCCCATCACACCAGTTCTAGCCAGGCTCCACTGGCTCCCTATCGCCAAACAGATCCCTTTGTGCCCTGGTAACATCCCTACCTCTCCGACCTGCTTACCCCCAATCCACAACCCCCTGCCTCCGCTTGGCTGGCTCCAGCTTTCTGAATGTCCCTCATGCTCTCCCACTGGTAGACTCGCTTTCAGCAACTATGCCCCAAAACTCTTGAACGCTCTTCCTCTATCTCTCCGCCTTGCCCCTTCCTTCCCAATCTTAAAGTTGCGCTTGAAGACCTTCCTCTTCAACCGTGCCTACGGTCACCTCCCCCCAGCTCCGCCACTGTCAAGCATGATGTTGTTGAGTGAATGAATGCCTACAGATGAATGGGGCTGTTGGGAGATCTGTCCTGGTGGTCATTAACTGGCATTTATGAGGAAACATGTGGTGCTGATCACAATTGCTCAGTATTGTATATCCCTGAAGTCCTCGATGTGATTCTACAAACCGTAAACACATGCCCTGTGTTGCGCATCTGCAAAAGCAACTCTGGAGACTCAAGAGTTTACAGTGACAAGGAATTTGGTTTGTTCAGCTCTTTTCCGCTCGGGAAAGACAACAAATCCACTTTTAATTGTTAACACTCCCAATGCTATCTGTTGCTGCTTAGTCTTGTGCCAGTGTTAGTACTTAATGGACAATCTTCATCACCCTTGCATTTGATACAGTGCCTTATCACATTGTTGAGACGTCTCAAAGTGCTTCACAGAAGCTTCACTGTTTGTGGGTCGCTGCTGTGCGCAATTGGCTGTCGCGTGTCGCCCACAAAATATCCACTTCACAGTATATTCTGTAAAGCACTTTGGGATGTCTCAAAGATATGATAAAACATGATATTAAATGCAAGGATTATTTTTATAATATAATCAAGGGCAATTCACCAAATGCGGTGCATTGTCAAAGGCGCTGTTTTTCGGATGAGATGTTAAACCGAGGTCCCATCTGCCTGTTGGGGTGGATGTTAAAGATCCCATGGCGCAATTCGTAAACCGAAGGAAGTTTCCCCAGTCTTCTGGCCTCGAACCCCCTGATAAAAATTGGTCATTAACTTCATTGGCTGTCTGTTCCAAAATTCATTGCCGAGTTTGCCCACTTCACATAATCACATGAAGCTCTTTGCTCAGAATGCAGCCACTGAGATATTAGACACCAGCCGACTGCTCTGTAACGAGATTGCCCTGCAGTTGTCGGACGTGGTCTTGCTGTAGTGCAGTGTATTATGGTTTGAGTTCAGGCATGCTAATTTTGAATCAATTGTGCTGGAATGGAACCATATGAAGGAAGGGTAAACATTCCTCTTGCTGAAGTACAAAGAAACATCAGGGATCATTAAACTCTTGTCTGCACTCTAGGACGCCATAGCCTTTCAATTCGATTACAGTCTAATTAAGCCATCATTCTAGCTTTGTGCTGCCAGAAACTATAGTGGAGAACTGTCTCCATCTGCAAAGTACTGGAGACTACAGTGCATTTTTAAACCATGGAAAAATAAGCTACATTCTGTTGCCACAATTTTGAATTGTAATTGTCCATTAGAATTATAAAGCACCGGGTTTTATTCCTTCAGCATAGAACAAAGTGTTGGATAGTTTACTCTGTTCCCTCGCAGGGTTTGAAAATGCTAACTTTCCACAAATATTAATTAAAAAGTGTTGGGCAATATTATTGTAGATTTCAAGATGCGAGGATTATTATTATTCTAATGTATAAAAAGAATTTGGATACCTGAAGAGTTGGTTACAAATGATACCACTTAACAAGGGCATTTTGGTACCTGAAAAATCTTCTTATTGTAAATATGGGAGCGTAGATAATAATAATAATCCTTGCATTTGATATAGCAACTTATCACATCTTCGAGACATCTCCAAGTGCTTCACATGCTGCACTATAAAGTCACTGTATATTTTGTGGGTGAAACTCAGCAGCCATTTTCGCACAGCAGTGTCCCACAAACAGCTGTGGGTTGAAGTGACCAAATTATTATTCTTATTTTTGGGGGGAGAGATGGAGAGAGAGAGAGAGGAGAGAGAGAGAAAGGGGATAGGGACATAGTCTTCATTCCTCTCCTGCAAGATGACTGGGTGTGGTGCCTTGGCAATATATTACTATGCAGTACATAAGTACACATAAAAACATAAATGTTTGTGTAAGTGGCATAAAGCAGAGGGAAGAACTATAATGGCATTGATAGCTAGAGACAAATTAGAAAGTGGAAATGTCTGCACGTGACACAACTTGTTGGTGACTCAGTATGTGTGCAATAGGCATGTCTGGGGAAAGGGTTCTCCAGGGAATCGTGGATGGAATTAGTAATGTTTACAAAGTGGGGGAAACAGCACCTGGAATAGCTTACCAGGAAGGGTGGTAGAGGCCAGGATTTAGGACATTGAAGTAGCAAAGGGAAGGTGCCAGTTTGAACATTCTAGAAAGACGAGATCAAACGGGCAGAAGAGGCTTTCTTCATTTAGACCTTTTTGTGATCTTAACTAAACAGCTGTAATATGTGAATATTTATAGTGAATAGTCTAGGCTGCAGTGCAACCCTGGGGGAATGCTGCTGCAACAATAACAACTTTCATTCATAAAGCGCCCCTCATCCAGAGTAGCGTCCCAGAGTACTTGATGTCGCTCAGGGACGCAGCTCCCAGCGCAACGCCGTGCTGGGGGGAAGGGGTGGAAGTTGACCGTAGGCCCGTCGAAGAGGAAGGTCGAAGATGGGGAAGGAAAAGGCAAGGCCAAGGGGATAGAGGAAGAGTGTTCTAAAGTTTCGGGGTGCAGTAGCTGAAAGCGTGGCCACCTATGCTGGAATTGAGAGCGAAAGGGACATGCAGGAAGCTGGAGTCAGTCGAGCGGAGGCAGTGGGTTGGGGTTTAAACAGGTTGGCGAGTAGGGAGGTGCCAGGGCATGAAGGGATTTGAAAACAAGTAGGTCAGAGGTGCTGCCGTTGAGGTGAGATTTTAAACCAATACACCATTTGCCTTTTTGGGTGGTACATTAAAGATCTTGTGGCACTATTTGAAAAGAGAAAGGAATTAGACAACCATCCCTCAAAATAAAATTGAACATTCACTTCAAAGTGGGGACTTTGCTGATTGGTGGTTGTATTTGCCTACAAATACGCAGTCAATAAATCCTGTGAAGTGCCAGGAGACGTTTTGATGATGCGATAAGACGCTATATCAAATGCAAGGATTATTAGATGATTCACACTCCTTGCTTTATTAATTCACTGTGCAGAGTTTCATGGATAGTTTGTCTCTTTTTTTATATTGTCTAGAGAATGAATTGAAACCAGTTTATTTTTTAACTGATGTTGGTTTCCCTATTTGTCTGCAGATGTTCACCTTTGAGTGGTATTGCCTGCTCGATTTGGGACTGTTCACGTTACAGGAGTATGTGCACTTCTGGGATCAATAACTACCACACCACCAGCCCTCCTAGCGGCCAGACAAGATTGGAAGCTTCGGATATCATCGGTGTCAGGCCAACGGTTTGCCACTAAAAAGTTGGTTGGGAACAACGGCCTAAGTAATGACTTTCTTCCTCGCTTCTGCAGAGATGCCAATAAGGGAGGGGCTTATTCTACTTCAGTTGTGTGAGGTTGTATTGGTTGAGTTTTAAAGTGTAGTATCTGTTCCCGATGATTGATTGGTCAGTATCCAGGTGTACTGCAAAGTGAAATGTGTGGCTCAGTGTTTAAATTTCACCGGGGGGCTGCTGAGCATTGCCACAAGTTGCAGATAATTATAACAATAATCCTTGCATTTGATATTGTGCCTTATCACGTCTTCGAGACGTCTCAAATCGGTTCACAAAATATTCTGTAAAGTGAATTGACTGTATATTTTGGGGGCGAGATCGCTGCTAAGTTAACCCTTTCCAGTTTGGTTGGTTGCCTTTCATAATACTGACAGGGCAACAATCTGGCCCAGGTTATGGATTGTTGACCAGTACTTCAACAACAACAACAAGATTCCATTTATTGAGCGCCTTTCACGTCGGGAGGACGTCCCAAGGCGCAGTACAGTTGGGTCAGGACCCGAGCGGGGGGAAATGGTCAGGGTGAGGGGAGGGAAGGGAGGAAGCGAGGAGGGGGTAGAGAGTCGAGAGGGGAGCTGAAGGCTCGGTCAAAGAGAAAGGTCTTGAGACCGGCCTTGAAGGAGGACAGGGAGGAAGCGGCGAAGGCACTGGGGGATAGAGTTCCAGAGCCTCGGGGCTGAGAGGCTGAAGGCCCGACCACCGATGGTAGGGCGGTTGGGGCGGGGGATGTGGAGCAGACCGGAGCCAGAGGAACGGAGGGTACGGGTGGGTAGGTAGGGGGATAGTAGGTCGGAGAGGTAGGAGGGAGCGAGGCCGTGAATGGCCTTGTAGGTGAGGATCTTGAATTCGATCCTCTGGGGGATGGGGAGCCAGTGGAGGTGAGCGAGGGTGGGAGTGATGTGTTCCCGAAGCCTGGTGCGAGACAGTACACGAGCTGCAGAATTCTAAATGACCTGCAGCTTCCTACTGGGACTGCATGAAACTACATATGTTTGACTACATACATGAAGAATAGTCACGTAATATATCAAAAAGATGTTCCTGTAGGTGGCACTGCATTGGGGCCTGAGCGAGTGTTTTCATATAAAAAACATTTGGTCATTCAATCCACGACTGTTTGTGGGACACTGCTGTGCGCAATTGGCTGCTGGTTTCACCCACAAAATATCCAGTCAATTCACTTTACAGTATAATCGTGAAGCGCTTTGAGTCGTCTCGAAGACGCGATAAGGCGTTATATCAAGGATTATTATTATAAGAGAGGGAAACATTGAATGCATGGTGCTGTAGGACTGTTCCATTGGAACGGTAAGCTGTGCGAGAATGACTCCGCCGTGATGACATTGCCTCATTTGCTCAGCAATAAAATAACTGGTTGTTCCTAATAGGAAAATGATGGGAATACAGTGAAGGAATTTGTCCGGCTGGAAAGAAAACCAAACCTCCGACAGCCCAATGTTGACATAAACATGATTCAGTAGTTTTTGGAACACGATAGAAATTTTGATTCAGCCATTGTGCACTGTTTAGTCTTTAGTCCAAATATCCCCTTGTTTGCTGTGTGCATTTTGTGTATATGTGTGACCATTGCAACCAATATTCTTAATCTTCACTTATTAACATGTTATTGTCCTGTGAAGGTAACTTCTTTTCTTTATTTCTCTGCTCTAGATCTTTCTGCACTACACTTGAGTCGAAAAAGCAGGTGAATAATTTGGCCCAGGTCTCTACAGAACCCTTATTGCATTTTCTGGGCTTACTCTTTCTCCTCACGTGAAGTGTGCTGTATAAATGGAGTCCGGGAGTCCTGTAGCTCAGTGGTTAGAGCACTCGCAATCGAGAGGAGCTGGGCTCAATTCATAGAATCACAGAATATTACCAGGCTAGAGAAACTCGGATTATTCTCCTTGGAGCAGAGAAGGTTAAGGAGAGATTTAATAGAGGTGTTCAAAATTATGAGGGGTTTCAATAGGGTGAACAGGGAGAAACTGTTTCTACTGGCAGGTGGGTCGTGACCAGAGGACACAGATTTAAAAGAGTTGCCAAAAGAACCAGAGGGGAGGTGAGGAGAAATGTTTTCACACAGCGAGTTGTTCGGATCTGGAATGCATTGCCTGAAAGGTTAGTGGAAGCTGATTCGATAACTGCATTCAAGAGGGAAGTAGATAGATATTTGGGGAGGACAAGTTTGTTATGGGGAGAGAGTAGGGAAGTGGGATTCATTTAGATAGCACTTCCAAAGAACTGGCATGGACACGATGGCCTCCTTCTGTGCTGTATGATTCTATGATTACAGCACAGAAGAAGGCCATTTGGCTCTTTGATTGCAGTTCATTTGTTGAGCGAGATTGAAAAAATGTTTCCTGTGTTTTCTTTTTTTCTCTGCAATTTAAGATGGGGAATTCGGACAGTCAGTACACTCTGCAGGGGACGAGGGGGCACCATATTGAGGGGAAGCCCGCACCTGGTAGCAGACAGAAGTCTTGCGCCCTGAAGATTCGGAGTGTCTACGCCAAGGATGAGAAATCACGCTCTGCTTTTGGCTGGGGGTACGGCGGCAGCAGCATAAGCTACAAAGCAAGATCTCTGGGCAGAAACTGCCTTTCACAACACAAGAGTAACCAACGTTACCCTCTCAACAACTCTTCACATCACTGCGAGTCTTTGGCCGCGGGAAATCACAGTAATAGCAATGCTTACGCCAGGTGCCACTTGGGGAACTACAGCGATGGGAACAACGCTATGTTAACCGGAAACCACATTCCTTGCATTCGTGTTGAGACAGCCGGCAATCCCGCTAAAGCCACGCAACGCAATGGCTGTGTGGTGAATGGGCACGGATTCCACACCAGCGAAATGGACGGCAAGGACCCAGAAGGAGAGCGCAGCCCAAAGGTTCTCATCAAAACCCTGGGCAAGTTTGACGGGAGCTTAAGGGTCGAGTTCCATAGCGGCTGCAGCGGCAGCAACAACAACAAACTACCGTCCGAGGGATCCCACGGGCCGGTTCAACTGCTTAGATACTCTCCAGCTATGGAGTCCGACCCCGGGAAACAAAGCGAGGCACACAGTGATCTCAGCAAGGAGTTTGGGATGGAGCAGGGCCTTGCAGCTGGTGAGGAGAGGTTGAAGTCTAGCAAGGGCAGCTCGTTGAGTTCAGAGTATTCCTGGTCAGACTCTCCCTGGGGTGCCCGGGTTTCCTCTGGTGAGCTTGACAACATGTTCCCAACTGGGAAAGCATCAGACACCAGCAACGGACATCTCTTCCCGAGATCGTCTCTCTCCTCTTTCCAAGAACTGTACAGCGATCAGGGTTTGGGACCCTCCACGCCCTCAGGGATGGATTTTTCAGGTGCCTATAGGAATCCCTCTCTAAAATCCCAAACCTTATTTGTACCTGACTTTCCCAGCTGCACAAACTTGCCGTCTGATGAGGAGGACAGAGGGCCCATCCAATATTCATCATACACGCTTCCCTGCCGCAAGTCCAAGCACCTTTCTGAAGATGGTTCCTCAAGAGATGCCTTAAAAAGTCGAATACGTCGTTTAAGTGCTTGGACCGGCAGCCTTACGAGGAAGAAAAGGAAACTGCAGGTGAGTCACACGTGGTACACAATAATATATAATAAAAAAAATCCTTGAATTTGATGTAGCGCCTTATCACGTCTTCGAGATGCCTCAAAGCACTTCACAGAATATACTGTAAAGTGAATTGACTGTATATTTTGTGGGCGAAACGCGGCAGCCAATTGCGAACAGCAGTGTCCCACAAACAGTCGTGGATTGAGTGACCAATTTTTTTTAAGGAATTATTACCCCCAGAAAAGTGATCCACCAATCAACTAACAAGCAGATTCCTACTTCTGTTAGGTAAACAGTGACGTGTGGTGTAAGGAAAGTTTTGCCCAAAGTTTTGCCCTGCCCGGGAATCGAACCCAGGTCCTCTCGTTTGCGAGGCAAGTGCTCTATCCCCCAAGGTACAGGCCTCCATGTACATGAATCGGATATCTTCAGGAGAAGCCACTGCATAAAAGACTGCTTAAAATGGCCCATGTTATTCAGTCTTCCAGTACAGAACCCTTGCAATACAGTGATATCTCTTAATATAGCATGGATTTTTGTTTACTAGATGGGAGCAGATTGGAATTGCTACAACTTTAAGAAATATCCATTGCAGCTAATATTTTGCAGGGCTATGGGGAAATTGCAGCTAATATTTTGCAGGGCTATGGGGAGAGAGCGGACAAGTAGGATTGATTTGGATAGCTTTTTTCAAAGAGCCTGCACAGATACGTTGAGCCGAATGGCCTCCTTCTGTGCTGTATGATTCTATGATTCTGTGAACCTTTCAAGTGGAGGAAAGTAAAGTGACTTATGGGATCTGTCAATTCATCTATGAGGAATTCATCTCCAAACATTAATTCCTTTTAGAATCTGGGACTTGTAGTTAAAACAACATTTGCTGTTTCTTGAATTCTCATCATTGTTTGTTTTGTGTAGGGGACGTGTTGTTTCAAAGCAGAACACGGCCAGATGGCAGAGTGCATGGGCTTGCCAATGTACTGTGACACAGGAGCAGTAGGAGACACAGTCCCGCAGTGAATGAGGGAGCGTTGAGGGCGTGTGCACAGCCTCTGTTCTCACTCACCAGCAGTGCTGTGGGTCGAGGTAGCAAGCAGGTTAGCTGCTGTGGGTTAGGAATTTTCAGGGAGAAAAGTTGATGAAGCTTTTAAGAGGATATTTCTTAAAGTTGTAGCAATTCCAATCTGCTCCTATCTAGTAAACAAAAGGCAAAGTACTGCACATGCTGGAAAAACATGCTAAAAGGACCCGGTTGATAGTTGATTGGCAGATTGCTTTTGTGTGGGTAATAATCCCTTCAAAAAATAAATAAGTTGCTCACTCAATGCACGACTGTGTGTGGGACACTGCTGTGTGCAATTGGCCGCGTTTTGCCCCCAAAAATACAGTCGATTCACTTTACAGTATATGCTGTGAAGCGCTTTGAGAGGTCTTGAAAACGAGATAAGGCGCTGTGTCAAAAATGTGAGGATTCGTTCTGTGTGTCCAGTGAGCAAGTGAATGTTTGCAATTGTACCTGAGAACAGGTGAGCTACGAAACCTGTTACGCCTGAAAAAATACTCGATAAGCAGGAACTTTCGTTTAACAAAACGCACCTTCCATTGTTGCAGGATTCAAAATCAAAGGATATGAACGAATATTGTGACAGTGGAATAGATGGCGTCACGGGGGACACTAGCTCCCCATCCCAGATCTCCAGTCTAATGTGGTCGCTGGGATCCAGCTATACCCTGCCTCCTCGAAGCAGCTCCAGCAATGCAGTTGGCAACGATGTCCTGCGGCAGAGCATCTACGAGAACTTCATGCGGGAGTTGGAAATGGGCCACATGCCTCTAGAAAACACTGACCAGTCAACAGAGAGCGAGGAGACAAGCAGCGACTCCTTCAGTTCTTTGGAACAACTGGATTTATTGTACGAAAAGGAACAGGGGTTTGTGCGGAAGGCCGGCTGGCTGTCCTTCAAGCCTCTTGTTGCCCACCAGAAGGAGAGGAAATTAGAACTCGCTCCTCGCAGAAAGTGGAGACAATATTGGGTTTCTCTTAAAGGTATTGATGCTGCCAGAGTTTGAGGTGCAGAGGCGCTGGCGCGAGCCAATCAGGAGGGCCTCAGGCTTGGTCACATTCAACTGTAGGAAATTTGCCCTCATCCAGGACTTGATGTCCAACAGGCAGTCTGTCAAGACAGCAGTGGTCCTGGAGTTGAGGGTGGAGGCAGAAAGATAGAGTTGGGTGTCATCTGCGTACATATGGAAGTTGACCCCATGTTTGCGGATGATGTCACCAAGGGGGAGCATGTAGATATTAAAGAGGAGAGAGCCAAGGACAGAGCCCTGGGGGACGCCAGACATGACAGTGCAGGGGCTGGAGGAGAAACTGTTAGAGGCAACGAGTGGAGACAGTGAGAGAGATAGGAATCGAACCAGGCAAGGGCAGGTCTGCGAAGGTTAAGTAAAGAGGAGAGGTGGTGTATGAGGATGGAGTGGTCGACAGTATCGAAGGCGGCAGAGAGGTCGAGAAGGACAATGAGGCAGAGGGAGCCCTGATCACAGATGTTCAGAATGTCATCAGTGACTTTGACCAGGGCTGTTTCCATGCTATGGGCAGCGCGGAAGTGGATTGGAGAGGTTCAAAGAGGGAATGGCGAGAGAGAAAGGAGCGGAGCTGGGACGTTCCAGGACCTTGGAGAGGAATGGGAGGTTAGAGATGGGGTGGTAGCTGGAGAGGAGGGATGGATCCAGGGAAGGTTTTTTCAGGATGGGATTCTGTCATTATTTATCCACTCTAAACCCTTCTGCATAATCATAATAATAATCCTTATTAATGAACACAGCATACTGAAGACTTCTAATAGATCTCCTCTTACTTGCTCCCCTCAATCATTTTGTAGAGACCTATAGCTTATTGGTTAGAGCGCTCGCCTCACAAGCGAGAGGACCTGGGTTTGATTCCCGAGCAGGGCAAAATGTTAGGCAAGTTTCCTTACTGGTCAATTTGCGGATCGCTTTTCCTGGGGTAGTAATCCCTTCAAAAAAATAAATAACATAATAATTTGATCACTCAATCCATGACTGTTTGTGGGACACTGCTGTGCGTAATTGGCTGCCTTGTTCAACCCACAAAAGTAAATTCACTTTACAGTATATTCTGTAAAGTGCTTTGAGTCATCTCGAAGACGTGATAAGACGCTATATCAAATGCAAAGATTATTATTTGATTGTTCAATCAGATGACGTATTTGTGCTCCAAGGTATCCAGATTAGTCATTCTATCAAAGTTGGAATGAAATTGCTCTACACTCAAAAAAAAAGTCCTGCAGACATCCTTGAGAGGAAATAATTTCAGCATTTTAGTTTATTTTAGTTTTATTCTTGAAAACTTGGCATTCTGGAGAGTGATCTTGTTCCAGAATTCTGGATCTAATCACAACAGACTGGAACAACAAGGTCTGCTCTATTTATAGAAGGGTTCTTAGTAATAATAATAATAATCCTTGCCTTTGGTATAGCTCTAATCACAGCAGGACATCTCAAAACTCTTCACAGGATTTTACTGTAAAGTGTAGTGACTGTGTATTTTGCAGACAAAAGGTGAGGGTTTGCTCAGGCAGGATGTACCCTTGTTGAAAGATCACTCGCAAACAGACCTCTGGGCTGACACATTGACCGGAGGCGACTGTGAGCAATTTTTTGCTCTCTCCTCACTCAGAGATTCAGATATCATGGGAAGGTTTAAGATCATTTCAAGTTCAAGTGGGCAAAATGTTTCTAGATTAACCTATGCAATCTGGTCTGGTGTTTATCCCATTGGATTTCATAGAGGTAGAGGTTTGCAGTAATGTAAAATACAATTTTAACATAAGTAGACTTGCAGACTACTGTGTGCTGTAGTATTGGGCAAGATATTTACATAGGAATGTCCAGGACTACAAGAACTATTTGTGTGTGTGTGTCAATATTCTACAATAACAACAAAGTACATTTACACAGTGTCTTTCACATTGGGAGGACATCCCATGGCGCTGGATTATCAGGAATTTGGACCCCAGCAGGGGGTTGGCATCGGGAGGGGTGGGGGGCAGCGAGTGTGGGAGTAGGAGGGTGGTCAAAGGCGCAATCAAGGAGGGTCTTGAGACGTGCTTTGAAGGAGGCAAGGGAGGGAGTGAGATTAAGGGACTGTAGGATGAAGTTCCAAAGGTTGTGTGGGGGCAACCTTCAGGGGAGGTACTTGATATACCATCCCAGAAAAATGCGATGATTGTGCAATGTTTCCTGCTTTTTCTTCTAGGCTGCACCCTCCTATTTTATGAGGCAACTGGGAAAAGCTTCATCGAGCAGAGCAGCGTGCCCAGATATGCCCTGTTTGCTGAAGACAGTATCGTGCAGGCTGTGCCTGAACATCCCAAGAAAGAAAACGTGTTCTGTCTCAGTAATGCCTTCGGGGACGTTGTTTTATTTCAGGTTACAGTATTTTTTTGTACGGTTACTATAGAAAGAAGCTCGTTCAAACCGTAAATGTGGAGTGTATGTGAAAGAGAATGAATGTCCTGAACTGACCGTTCGTCCCCTCTGTTCCACCATCGGTGGCCGTGCTTTCATCCACTAAGCGCTGAAACTCTGGAACTCACTTCCTCTAACGCTCCGCCTTGCCCCTTCCTTCCCCATCTTCAGATCGCGCCTGAAGACTTTCCTCTTTGACCATACCTACGGTCACATCCTCCAGGCTTAGTGTCGTCCTCCTCCACTGCCGAGTGCTCTGGGGCACTCCCCTGTGTGAGGGGTGCTGTGTAAATGCAAATTGTTGTTGTAGACACCAACTGTGCAAATAGTCAGTATTTTGTACCAAACCTGATTTCTTGTTCTCTGTGACTACACTATTTTCTTTTAGATTGACAACAACAACAAGATTTCATTTATAGAGCGCCTTTCACGTTGGGAGGACGTCCCAAGGCGCTGGACATGGGTCGGGACCCGAGCAGGGGGGAAATGGTCAGGGTGAGGGGAAGGAGGGAGCGAGGAGGGGGTAGAGAGTCGAGAGGGGAGCTGAAGGCACGGTCGAAGAGAAAGGTCTTGAGACCGGCCTTGAAGGAGGAAAGGGAGGAAGCAAGGCGAAGGCACTGGGGGATGAGGCATGCATGACGGAGGTTCTACTCAAATTTCAACAGTGAACTAACTTGTGGTTAACATGCAATGCTCACTGTGTCTGCCCTGTATTACAGGCTATGAGCCAGACTGATCTGGAAAATTGGGTTACGGCAATCCATTCTGCCTGTGCATCAGTGTTTGCAAAGCAACATGGAAAGGAAGATACAGTCAAGCTACTGAAAAATGAAACAAAAAGCCTTGTGCAAAAGATCGACATGGATGGGAAAATGAAGAAAATGGCAGAGTTACAGTTGTCGATTGTAAATGACCCCAAAAACAGGAAGGCAATTGAGAATCAGGTATTAACTATTCATGAATGAGTCCCATAGCCTAGTGGTTAGAACACTTGTCTCGCACATGAGAGGACCCAGGTTTGATTCCCGGGCAGGGCGAAACGTAAGGCATGTTTCCTTGCTCCAAACACCTCTGTTTACCCAGCAGTAAGTAGGAACCCGGTTGTTAGTCGATTGGCGGATCACTTCCGGGGAGTAATAATCCCTTCAAAAAAAATAATACTCAAGTGGTCACTCAATCCATGACTGTTTGTGGGACACTGCTGTGTACAATCGTCTGCGCATGTTATGTTGTTTCACCCACAAAATACACAGAATATCCTGTGATGCACTTGGAGATATCTGAATGATGTGATAAGGTGCTATATCAAATGCCAGGATTATCATTAATATTAATATTATTAATGTCAGCTGCCAACCTCTTCACATAGATACCTCATTACATTCCTGTGTGATTGGGGTGTAGCTCCAACAGGGAAGGTTTTATAGCCAGTCATTCTGGCCTGGGATCTCTGTATTATGTTGTTATGCTTCTTCTTGTGTTCCTGCAAACCATTTTAGACGGGAAATTCTGAAGGATAGTACCTTTGACAATGTTTTAGCTTGGACTGAGAGATCAAAGTCTGTCCTGAGGCAAGTGTGTTACCAATTTAAAAGGCATGGGTTGGGAGGTGGGCACCAGGACCAAGCAGGCAAGTGGGATTAGGCTTTGTGACTTGTGTCAAAAAGCACATAAAATATAGTCACTCCACTTTACAGTATATTCTGTGAAGCGCTTTGATACGTCTTAATAACATGATAAGGCGCTGTATCAAATGCGAGGATTATTATTACAACGGTACTATAACAGGGAATCCCTTTTTTGAACTGTTTCCCCCCACCCCCCCATGAAAAAAAAGTTGCAGCTGTATGTTAGGGCCGCACATTGTAATTGGTAAATGAAACTTCAAAACAGACCTCTTTGGTTATCTCCACCCCCCCACCCAGCTCAGGCACCCATCCAACCCTGCAAATGCCATTTGGTATGACCTGTCAATGTGGAAGGCGCCGTCTAAATGCATTGTGCGTTTCTTGCTTGTGAAAAGGGTATGTTTGCCTACAAGTACAGAACTTCAGTGAGTCATGCAGTAAAGCTACTTCAACATAAAATCGGTGACTCGCTCTTTGTTTCCAGTGAGTCTCCGATCATAAAAAGGGAAATATTTTCTTCAATCCACGTGTCCGCGTAAGCGTGTGGTAAACATTAGGGACACATTGTGGGTCTTTATGGATCAGCCATGGAGCTTACGTGCTATTTCCACTTGTTGAGTGTACTTTTCCATGTCGCTTGTGGATTGTTTGCATGGATTTGGGCAGACTTTCCTGGAGGGCACTGAATGATGCCTTTATGGAGCAGAGGTAAAGCATTACTGTTGAATAATGACGTTTTAGTTTCCTTACAGAGTGTATGAGGGGGAGAGAGAAAAATATTGTCTGTCTGTCTCTCAGTCAGAGTCTTGTCAGCATTTTCTTAGTCACTAACTATAAATCATACTCTGGGAAAGCTAAACAACCCTGCCTGACACACAGCTCTTCTGAGAAACAGCTGGTACTATTTTAGCATCTAAAATTGAGAGCAGATAGACTTCAAATTAGACTGGGATTCTGCGGCCTTTCTCTGAATGTGCCTATCTATCTTTAATGTTCCTTGTTCTGTGTGTGCCTGTTTCATCTTAAACTACTGTAAACGGGGGAAGAAATAAGGAGCTACTACATTGCTGGCAATTGTATAACCTTCCTGCTGATTAGTTTTGAGATTTGATTTCAGCGGCTTGACAGGAAAATGAAAATAATGAGATTTATTATCTTAAACTGCAATCAGACTGACTGAATGCCATTTTTGCTTGAAACTCTTCCCCACCCCACACACAACCGTACCACTGAAGAGATTGGGGGTGTGGAACAAATTGTCTTTTTGGTAATATTGATTCCTCAGCTGGGATCGTTCTCCTTAGAGCAGAGAAGGTTGAGGGGAGATTGAATAGAGGTGTTCAAAATTATGAATAGTTTTGATAGAGCAGATAGGGAGAAACTATTTCCTCTGGCGGGTGGGTCAGTAAACCAGAGGGCATGGATTTAAGATTATTGGAAAAAGTACCAAAGGGGAGACGAGGAGACACTTTTTTTCCCTAGAGAGTTGTTACTGTCTGAAATGCCCTGCCTGAAAGGATGATGGAAGCAGATAAGATAATTGGTTTCAAAAGGGAATTAGATAGGTGCTTAAAAAGGAAACCATTTTCAAGGTAAAGGGGTAAGAGCAGGGGAGTGGGACTGTTGGTAGCTCTTTCAAAGAGCCAGCACAGACACGATGGGCCGAATGGCCGCCTCCTGTGCTGTGAAATTCTATGATTTTAGCCAGCAATCTCTATCTTGGTGCCAGATCCGTTTTAAACTGTTTCAGCAGAATTGGTTTGAAATTTATGAAGTGATTGGATTGAATATCCTCAAACCTCCATGAACCTGTGCTTGTGCTAATCCCAGCCCTGCACAAGGTGTTTCTATAATTACAAGTGATAAGGCTTGGGCCAAAGAAGCACTTAATAAGGCACTTGACATTCGTAAAGAGAAGAGACTTTCTGACTTAATTCTGTTCAAAATATCAACGGTAGATATTTGAAAGAATAATAATAATAATAATCTTTGCATTTGATATAGCGCCTTATCATGTCTTCTAGACATCTCAAAGAGCTTCACAGAATATACTGTAAAATGAATCAACTGTGTATTTGTGGACGAAACGTGGCAGCATTGCGCACAACAGTGTCCCACAGACAGTCGTGGATTGAGTGACCAAATTATTGTTGTTTTCTTGAGGAATTATTATCCCTGGAAAACCGATCTATCAATCGACTAACAACTGGGTTCCTACTTACTGCTAGGTAAATGGACATGTGGAGTAAGGAAACTTGCTCAACATTTCGCCCTGCCGGGATTCGAACCCAGATCTCTCACTTGCGAGGCGAGCGCTCTAAACACTAAAATGAGTCCACTTTAATGAATTAACTTTATAAATTGAACATCAATATTTAGGCAGCCCTTATGGTGTAATGGATGGAACTGGATTATACAGACCAGGAGGTCTGTGCTGAGTTTACTGATCTCAACCCTCCCAGGAGAGTGAAGAGAAAACTCGCCAGAATTCCTGGTCTTTTTACTGCACCCTCTACTGGTCGTGTGGCAGTTGGGTGGCAGAGATGAGGCTCAGCTATGGCATCATCTACTCAACAATGGACTGCGGACACTCACTGTTAAGGCTCACACATGAGCAGGGGCCACTTGAACAGGTTAGCGGAGGGCAGCCACGTCACAGTCACCTTATTTTAATTAAGGCTCTACCTCTTTCTACTGATATTTGCAGTAGATAGTCTGATAATAATAATAATAATCCTTGCATTTGATATAGCGCTTTTCACGTCTTCTAGACGTCCCAAAGCACTTCACAGTAAAGTGAATTGACTGTATATTTGTGGGCGAACGCGGCAGCCAATTGCGCACAGCAATGTCCCACAAACAGTCGTGGATTGAAAATGACCAATTTATTATTGTTTTTGCTTTTGGAGGGATTATTATTAGGCACTGTGTGGAGTAAGGAAACTTGCAAGGATTATTATATTCTATATTACACCCTAACCTGAATCGGTACCAAAGGGAGGAAGGCTCAGAATAGCTTCACTTTACAAAGGAAGTAGTGCCTTGGGATGTCCCCCCAACAGTAACAGCAACAAAATTACATTTATAGAGCGCCTTTCACGTCGGGAGAGTGGAGTCGGGCGAGGGTGGGAGCGATGGGGTCGCGGGGCCTGGTGCGTGAGAGTACACGAGCTGCAGAGTTTTGGATGATTTGCAGCTTGTGAAGGGAAGAGTTGGGAATGCCGATGAGGAGGACGTTTCCGTAATCGAGCCTTGTTGTGCCGAATGCATGGATAAGGGTTTCGGCAGCCTGAGGGGTGAGGCAGTGGCGGAGTCTGGTAATGTTGCGGAGGTGGTGGTAGGCAGTGCCGGTCATGACGTGGAATGTGGGGGAGAAAGGACAGTTCAGCGTCAAATAAGACACCCAGGTTCCTGACTGGCTGAGTGAGGTGAGAGGCATTATATAAATGTAAATCTGTATGGAAATTTGCATTGTATTGAAGTGTGATTCGCGGACGTGACTTGTGAGCTCTTCTCAATGGGGAATTGTGCTGATCAGTTTCTCCTGTAATAATCGCTTCCTCACCAGATCCAGCAGTGGGAGCAGAACCTGGAAAAGTTTAACGTGGACCTGTTTAGAATCCGTTGCTATTTGGCAAGTTTACAAGGAGGGGAGCTTCCCAATCCCAAGAGTCTCCTAGCAACAGCCAGCCGGCCTTCTAAGGTGTCTCTCAGCAGATTGGGCATCTTCTCAGTCTCTTCGTTTCATGCTCTGGTAAGGATCACTTCCACAGGGCCAAGCCTCCATATCGATACACGTAGAACACATTTCTTCATCTTCACTCAGAGGGTAGTGAATTTATGGAATTCTCTACCCCAGAAGGCTGTGGATGCTCAGTCCTCGAACATATTCAATCGATAGATTTTTAAAAACTAAAGGACATAAGGGATATGGGGATAGGGCGGATAAATGGAATTAGGTTAGAAGATCAGCCATGACCATATTAAATGGCGGGGCACGCTCCAGGGGCCAAATGGCCTACTCCTGCTTCTATTTCTTATGTTCTTATGATATCTCTGTGGGTGGGTACGATATCAAAAATATTGCAGGGTTATGGGGTAAGAACAGGGAGTGGGATGAGTTGGTAGCTCTTTCAAAGAGCCAGCACAGGCATGATGGGCCGAATAGCCTCCTTCCGTGCTGTAAGATTCTATGTGGCAGAAAGTTTTTGTGCTATGGACGGAAGGCTGTGTTCAGAGGCTGGTCACTCAATCCACAATTGTTTGTGGGACACAGCTGTCTGCAATTGGCTGTTGCGTTTCGCCCACAAAATATACAGTCAATCTATTTTACAGTATTTTCTGTGAATTACTTTGAGACGTGATATCGAATGCGAGGATTATTATTATTCCACCACACTCTGTTCCCTCGTCCGTCATGTAAATATTTCAGCCCTGATTTCCCAAGCTTGCTAAATAATTTACATCCCCATTTATGCAAAAATGCTACACAAAACACCACCTGAACAAGACATGGCATGGAAACCTTTTTCCGTCCGTGCTCTTTCAGAGATGGCACAGGCACAATGGGTCAAATGGCCTCCTTCTGTGCTCTAGTATTCTATGATTCTATGATAATTTCCTATCACGGCCTGTGATATAATGCGTGATGTGTATAATTCCCTAATCCTCTTTTCAATGGAGTTGCTGTTCATGTGCACTTCTGATCTGAGAGACTTGTAACCGCCAGTTGATTATGCAGTGCCCAGCACTGAGTCACGGATGGAAAAAGCTTTCCACTCGCTCCACCTCTTGTTCAGTCAGTCCTTTGTGGTGCACTATTACATAAATGGGGATGTACATTATTGAGCAAGCTTATTTTTAGACCAATATAATACCAACTCCTTTGTGATGTGAGATATTTAAAAAGGAACACTTTTGCAAGAATATTTAGAAACTAGTAAGCCCTAGTAACTAGTGGGTATCAATTTAAGATAATTAGCAAACAAGCAAATGGGAGACTAGGAGAATTTTTTTTCCCCTGCACAATGTTGTTAGGATATGGAATGTCTTGTCTGGAGCGGTGGTTGAGGCAAAATTGATATTAGGTTTTAAAAGTAAATGAGATAGATATCTACAAAGTGGAGTCCTGTAGCTCAGTGGTTAGAGCACTCGCCTCGCAAGCGAGGGGACCTGGGTTTGATTCCCGGGCAGAATGAAACGTTGGGCAAGTTTCCTTACACCGCACGCCTCTGATCACCTAGCAGTAAATATGCACCCGGTTGTTCGTTGATTGGGGGATCGCTTTTCTGGGGGGAATAATTCCTTTTTATAAAAAAATTAATAGTAATTTAGTCACTTGATCCACAGCTATTTGTGGGACACTGCTGTGAGCAATTGGCTGCCGCGTATATTTATACAGTCAATTCACTTTACAATATATTCTGTGTGCTGATGTCTGTGGTATAATACCCTCAGGTAAAACTTCCAACAAGGTCAGATTTTGTGAAATTTCTGCCTGACCTCTCCCTCCCCGCCACCACCCCCAAACAAGGTAATCTGGAAAAGATCCAGAATATCTGAAATGTTCCAAATTAAAGTTTTAGTTCAGAAAAAAAAAATTGCGACTTATGTTGAAAATACTGCGATAGTATTCCTTCCAATGGTGACTTTAATTCCTTCCAGTGGTGCCCAGTGAAGGGGTGGGGGGGGGAATTAGGGTGAAAATTAAAGCATAGAAGTTCTTTAGGTGGAATTGACTACATAAATACGTACAGACATCAAGAGGAGAGCCAGGTATCTAGCAGCACAAGCTGTCTGTTGTAACTCGATGATGCGGCCACATTTCTTCTCAGAGGCAGACCTATCATGTTTAATGTGAAACTCGTGGCTCCTAATGAAACTTTATTTAATGAGTCCATCATCTGCAAGTGTTCAGCTCCGCAACATCGGTGTAAAATGCAGAACTTAAGACCGTTTCCAAACTGCTGGATGCTCTCACAAGCTGCGGCTCAAGGCAAGTGAGCGATTTCTGCTCCGACATCTCTGACTGACTGAAATCAACTTTTAGTCAAGCACTAAATTTACAGTGTGAATGAAGCATTCTGAGATGTCCTTCTCTATCAATGTAAGTTCTGGAATTCTGTAGCATAGTGGATTCTTGCCTAAGGTTTCCCTGGCAAGTTCCCTTACTCCTTAAGCATGCCCCTGTTTACCCAGCAGTAAGTAAGCACCCGTATGTTAGTTGAATGGCTGAGCATTATTACAGAAATAGTGATTCCTTCAATAATCCCTTCAAAATTAAAAAATAATAATAATAACTTGGTCACTCAATCCACGACTGTTTGTGGGACGCTGCTGTGCGCAATTGACTGCCACGTTTCACCCACAAAATATGCAGCCAATTTACTTTACAGTATATTCTGTGCAGTGCTTTGAGACGTTTTGAAGATGTGATAAGGCACTATTATTATAGCAAGGATTATTATAAAAGTGAAAACAGCGATGGTATCTCTCAGTTTCACTACTGTCCTAATATATCTTCTTGTGAGCTTCCTTGTGGCTTTGACATCCTTTTTAAAATGTATTTATAGCTTGTTACTGCAGTGAGGTACCGTATGTGCGATGTGTGACCTGTGCATTCTGCCTGTTTTTTCTAGATTTGTTCAAGAGACGAGACCATGCTCCGAAAGAGAACCCTCTCCTTGTCTCAGCGAATCCGAAGCAAAAAGGGCTTATTTTCATCCCTGAAGGGTTTGGACGATCTTGGGAGAAAGGGAAAAGAAAAACGTCCCCTGGTAACTCAGGCATGTTTCATGTTTTTAATTAAAACTAAGTAAAATTTCGTAAGCAATTTTTTTTAACTCCTCCTTTTAAACCCCGCCCTGATGTGGTGACTTACAAAATCGTTTGAATCATTTGCATATTCATTTGTCTACAAACGGAGTCACTACACCCTGCAGCAAGGGTAAAGGAAGCAACGTGACAAGGCACTAAATCAGGTGGATTATTTTGATATATAGTGTTCAGCATATAGTGTTCTGATATATGAACACTATATGCTGATATATGGACCTCTGTGTGCAATTGGCTGCTGCATTTCGCCCAAAAAATACAGAGTCGCTACACTTTACGGTATATTTTATTTTCAGACGTCTCAAAGACATAAGGCAAGATCAAGAGTCCTGTAGCTCAGTGGTTAAAACACTTCACGCAGTGGACCATTTGACCTATCATGTTTATTCCACTACCTTTTTTTCTTCAATTGCCTTTTCTTAATGAATCCCTCTTTCCTGCATAAAGGGACATAGGAACAGTAGGAGGCCATTCAGCCCCTCGAGCATGTTCTGCCATTCTATAAGATCATGGCTAATCTGTATCTCAACTCCAATTACTTGCTCTTGACCCGTATCCCTGGATACCCTGACCTAACAAATATCTATCCACCTAAGGCTTGAAGGTGTGAATGAACAGCATCCTTTGGGGGGAGAGAGTTCCAGATTTCGACTCCTAAATGGCCTGGCTCTAATTTTAAGATGATGCCCCCCTTGTTCTGGATTCCCCACCACAGGAAATAGTTTGTCTGTAGCTACCCTATCGAATCCCTTTATTATTTTAAAAATCTGAATGATACCTTAATCTCCCTCTCCCACATCCTTATTGTTATCCTATATAAGGTTAAACAATTGAATTTTCCCACAATGCTACTAACACTAATAGTCTCATCATTCTCCTTTTCTACAAATAAATTGCAATGTTCAAGGAAAAATTTTGTTTGGTTGATTTGGTTAACGTTGATAGCCATATGTCCGCTATATGTCAACGTTAACCTTAAAGCTGTTCAGATTGAACAAAATCATAGAACGGTCAATTAAGCTACCTAATCAAAATGCGGTGAATACAATGGCCTATTTGAATTTTTTTTGATAGTGAGCTTGAGGGAGATATATTGTTTCAAGGAATTTTTTTGGGAGATTTCTATAACTTTTGCTGCTCTTCTCTCTTTAGGTTTTTGATTGTAATGGAGGTGCAGACTTCACAGGCTCTCAGTTACCAGTGAGCCACAGTAGTACTGATGAGGTGAGTGAATCATAATTACAGCACCCTCTTACCCATAGCCATGACTGTCAAGAGCCTTGAAATGTCCTCCCAATGTGAAAGACGCTATATAAATGTGGAGTCCTGTAGCTTCGTGGTTAGAGCAAGTGAGTGGACCCAGGTTTGTTTCCCAGCAGGGCAAAATGTTGGGCAAGTTTCCTTACTCCACACGCCTCTGTTTACCTAGCAGTAAGTAAGAACTCAGTTATTAGTCGATTGGCGGATCGCTTTTCCAGGGCTAATAATCCTTTTGAAAAAAAAGAAAAATTAAAAATAATAATAATTTGGTCATTCAATCCACAACTGTTTGTGGGCCGCTGATGTGCACAATTGGCTGCCGCGTTTCGCCCACAAAATATACAATAGATTCACTTTACAGTATATTCTGGGAAGCGCTTTGAGACGTCTTGAAGATGTGATAAGGCGCTTTATCAAATACAAGGATTATTATTATTATTAAATGCAAGTTGCTGTAGTAGTTAGCAGTAGTATTGCATTGTATATTGGTAAAACAAATTCTTAGATATGGTTTGCAATTCTTAAATTGGTCTATCTTTGGTTCTTGTTAACAGTAAAAGTGGTTACATATTCCTGTAAGGTTTACATTTTAAAAAATATTCTCCCATGTTCAGGGAAATTCAGTGTCTTGGCTCTCTGTGGATCATTTCTGCACAGACTGTAAACTGATCCCATGCCAGATGTGAAATCTAAGTTAATGATACCCAGGCAACATGTTGTTCAAATCTGTATACTGCTTTGTCAAAACTGGGGGAGGGAGAAGGGAGAGTGGAGTGTGTTTAATAGTCTCTGGCACTTCAGTCTGGACTAATCATTTATGACAGTATGAATACTGGCAGGCAGGATACTACGGGTGACTGTTTTCTTGTTGGAAAGATTAATTCACAGGCAGCTGTCATAACCGAGCAGGAACAAGCATTATCAGAAGCAATCTGACATGGTACCTTGCCCAGTAACCCTAACCCAGTTAAGTCTATGCTGGGCCGACTGTTAAATCCTGCGACTTATTTCTCCCAGATAAAGTTTTGATGTTTCTCCAACATGCAGTTCCTCGTGCAGTCCTGCTTATTCGGGTGGATATTAAGGATCCTATGCCAATACAATACAATGTTACATTTGTATAGTTCCTTTCATGTCGGGAGCACGTCCCAAGGAGCTGGTCAAAAAGAGAAGGGAGTTTCTCCCTGGTCAAATAATCCCCATATAAAATTGATCGTTCACTTCATGTCTGCTTGTGGAGCATTGCCGTGTGCAAATTGGCTGCAACATTTTCCTACAAAATCACGGCATGAAAGGAGCTATATCAAATGCAAGGATTGTTATTCGCAAAATGGAGTAATCCTCTCCCTCAACAGGAGAGTAATCAAGGTCTTCCTCTGAGACTACAGTCAACATTTACTCTACATGATGAATAATCTGTCTCCTAGTCTCACATAGCCAGTGGTTTCAGCCTCTTTTCCCCCTGCCTTTGGAACTCCATCCCATAGTCCCTTTGCCTCGCTCCCTCGCCTCCTTCAAGGCACGTCTCAAGACCCTTCTCTTCAACACATCTTCGGCCACCCTCCTACCCTCTACTATCCCTGCCCTCCACCCCTCCTAATTCCAACCTGGTCCAAGTCCCTACCTATACAGCGCCTTGGGACGTCCTCCTGACTTGAAAGGTGCTGTACAAATGTATGTTGTTGAATCTAGTTTTTTTTAATATAAAAACTACTTTCAGGGAACACATTTCATAGTTTCCAGGAATTAATTATTTTCGGTCAATGAATTTAACGTCAGCAAAACTATTTCAAAAATCTCTGAGCAGAACCACGTAAATGTGTGGTGAAGGGAAGTTCTGAAGTAACGTGTAGCTTTTAATATCTCGGTACATTCCACGTCATGTCATTTCAGATCATTGATTCTGACTCCTGGAATATTTTGCTTAAAAACCACAAAGTAAATCCAGGGGAAAAGAAAACCCTTGCTTAGTCATTCACAGGATTTAATTTTAGCATTAGTTCAACTATGAAGATTGAATGTCAGAACTGAGCCTGTGATGGTCTCTAGTCCGGTTCCTGAGCCGGGCGGGTCCACAGTATTCCAGGGCACTGCTGATGTCAGCACAGTCCAGCCCGGCTCATCAGCAGGACCTGGAAGAGCAGAGCAGTCACTGGGGGCAGGGAGTCATCCCACTCAGCTCCTGTTAACCCTATAAGCCAAAGCCCTAATGGGTAGGGTGGTCCTCGCTGGACAAGCAGAGGGAAAGCTTGCCAGACAGCAATATTAATGAGCTATGCAGTTTTAGCTGGTTAGACTCCAAGCCTTGGCTCTTGCCAACCTGTGCCAAATACTCTCTGGAATTAGGTAAACAGGATGTGTCCTTCCAGGGAGATAGTGCGCATTCCACTCCAACAATCTATCTCTGGGATTTCCAGTGTAGGTGGGATGCATGGAATTCTCAGCTTGGTTTGGATACTCTTAAGCACCGTGATGGGCGTGTGTCAGACACCCAGATGAGCAAACAATAATCATGTCCTGGAGCCATGAAACTCCTTTTCTCCTTCTACTGTGGTTAATCTCACTCCTACAATAATTTCTTTTGACCATGAAGTTGAAATCCATCCTTTCATAGCAAAATGTTGGGGGAGGAATCGCAAGAGAGGGGAAGGAAGGGTGGAGTATAAAGTTTAGCCCTTGCTGGTTGGGCTGAATGGTCTGTTTCGGTGATGTAAAGTTTATATAATTTTATGCAGGGAGACTTTAATTTTGAGTTCTGGCTAAGCTAGAATGACGTAATCACCATTAGGGGATATAACTAAAAAGATATTTTGGATGGAGAATAATGGGAATGATCCCAAGATGGGAATCTAATTCAGAGGATCACATAATTGCAGAAACATAGAAACAGAAGTTGGCCATTCAGCCCCTTGAGCCTGTTCCACATTGCTATAAGATCATGGCTCAACATTTATACCTCAACTCCAATTACCCACCCTTGTCCCCATGTCCCCTGATTCCCTGACCTAACAAACATCCATTCACCTCAGTCTTGAAGACATGAATGGATTCAGCATCCACAGCCTTTTGGGGAAGAGAGTTCCAGATTTCCACTCCCCTTTGGGTGAAAAACTGTCTCCTGATTTCACTCCTAAATGGCCTGGCTCTAATTTTAAGACGATGACCCCTTGTTCTGGATTCCCCACCAGAGGAAATAGTTTCTCTGTAGCTATCAAATCCCTTTATTATTTTAAATCCTCAATCAGATCACCCCTCGACCTTCTAAACTCAAGGGAACACAGACTAAGTTTATGAAACCTGTCCTCGTAATTTAACCTTTAAGCCCTGGTAACTAAACCGATAGAGAATAGTCATGAATAGTTTGTAATTGTAATTTAAATCCTAAGATTACAGCTGGCTGGGAAGGGAGGAAGGAGGCAGTACAATTGTTTCAGATGCTTGTTTTATGATTCATATTGTTCCAATTTGTTTTTGATTTCTGATCAATTATTTTGGTCTCGCTTTGGCTTTGTACACTACTCAGCCCAACTTGTCCGTGCTGGTGTTGATAATAATAATAATCCTTGCATTTGATATCGCGCCTTATCACGTCTTCGAGATGTCTCAAAGCACTTCACAGAATATACTGTAAAGTGAATTGACTATATATTTTGTGGACGGAACACGGCAGCCGATTGCGCACAGCAGTGTCTCACAAACACTGATGGATTGATTATTATTTTTTTATGCTTGCATGAACCTCCACTATCCTATACCCTCTCCCAATCCCTCTTCCAGACCCCTCCGCTCCCTCCTCCCTCATGTGTGCATAGAGTTTCCTCCTGAATACATTAATGCTTTCAGCTTTGGACACAAAGCTCGAATTGTAATTTCTGTTTTCTAAATATTACAACAGCAGCTTGCATTTATACAGCATCTTTCACAAAACTGTAAATTCCGCAACCTGCTTTACCAAATATAGGTGGTCAGAAATTAAGTGAATTTTACAGACAAAGGCAATACAGTAAACCTCACATAAGTCATATCAGTTGGGACCATACATTTAATATGATTGTATTTGTGGAAGTAGAACAACAACTTACATTTACACAGCGTCTTTCGTGTCAGGAGGACAGCCCAAGCTGCTGGACAGTCAGGGATTTGGACTAAGCTGGGGGTTGGGATCAGGAGGGGAGAAGGGCAGGGAGGGTGGGGTGTAGGAGGACGACTGAAGGCGTGGTCGAAGAGGAGGGTCTTGAGACGTGCCTTGAAGGAGGCAAGGGAGGAAGAGTGGCGAAGGGACTGTGGGATGGAGTTCCAAAGAGTGGTGGCAGAGAGGCTGAAGGCCCGACCGCCGATGGTGGGACATGCAGCAGGCTGGAGCTTGCTGAGCGGAGGGAGCGGACAGGTTGATTATGGGGTTAGCGGGTCACAGAGGTAGGGAGGGAGCAAGGCTGTGGCAAATGCAATACCTTCATTAAAATATTTGCCAATGCTAAGAAATACAAACATATTGAAATGTCTATCAACACTTGGAATTGTCATTCATAGGAAATGGAACCTAAACCGATGCATGTTTAACGTATCCAAATTCTTATTCCAGCACGGAGCTGATGGATCTATGAACGTCCACTTTCCAACACCAGAGAGCGCATTGTGTGAAAGTTCCTCAGAGAGTACAATTCGTGTCTGCTTTTTTGACCACCAAGCAACAATCATCGCAGTCAAACCAGACCACACAGTGGAGGACGTGCTGACTATGGCTTGCAAGGTGCGTCACCTTTCACCCCCTAAGAAATGGAGTCCTGTAGCATAGTGGCTAGAGCACTTGCTTCGCTACCGAGAGGACCTGGGTTCGATTCCTGGGCGAGTATCCTTACTCCACACGCCTGTTTACCTAGCAGTAAGTAGGAACCAGGTTGTTAGTCGATTGGTGGATCACTTTTCTGGGGTTAATAATCCCTTAAAAACAAAATAATAATTTGGTCACTTGATCTACAAGTGTTTGAAGCACACTGCGCTATTGGCTGCTGCGTTTCACCCACAAAATATACAGTTAATTCACTTTACAGTATATTCTATGAGGCGCTTTGAGACGTCTCAAAGACGTGATAAGGCGCTATATCAAATGCAGAGATTATTATTATCCTGCTTTACTTAGCGTTGACCCAAATGCACAGATGTAGTTAATTTGCAACGACCTGACTCTTTATACATGAGAGCGAGCGGTGCACCAATTTCAGATTTTGATATAGGTTATTCTTATTGCATCGCTCACACACTCCCACTGGAGTGTTATCTGGAGATGATGGATCACATACATTAATGGAGTCATTTTTCTAAAACCTGCCACAAACTATTCACAACATTACAAATTCAATTGGAACAATCGTGGTGACCTTTGTGTAATCAACAATTCAGATTAATTCATTGCGCTGCATATAATTACAAAGACTGCAGGGCAACGAGACATTGACTGACCCAGATTTTTTCCCCGAGTCTCAGTCACTGGGGATTCTCACTGCCCATTAGTGTCACAGGGAATTGTTTTTCATTATCTTCTCTGCGAATACTCAATACAATGGTTTTAATATTATTTTTAGAATAAATATTTCGCCCATAAAATACTCAGTCAATTCTCTTTACAATGCATTCTGGGTTGAGACGTCTTGAAGATGTGATAAGGCGCTATATCAAAGGCAAGGATTATTATTATGAAACTGCTGTGGTATAAAACTTTTTCGAACATGAATCTGACATGCAAGTGTGCCTCATTTCATTCATCTATAACATATCGTGTCGCTACACTCGCTACGTGTGAAGCGCTTTGAGACATTTCGACAACATAATAAGATGCTTATTTTTTTCCTTATTCTGGTGCTTCTGCAGTCTTAATAGATGCTATACATTGATATAATATCTTTTACCTCGGGAGAACCTCCCAAAGCGTATGCTGTACGGTGTAAAAAGGCAGTGGTTATAAGATTCTAGGGATTGGGTGCCTAACTGTTGGAGTGAAACTTGCCCGGTTTATAATCGTCATCTTAACGACCTTACTTTTTGATCATACTTACTGTCACCTCCTCCCACACCCCACCCACCCCCTACCCCTGGCTCGGTGCAGACTCCGCCACTGTCAAGCGCTCTGGGACTCTACCCCATGTGAAAGTTGTACTGGAAAAGGAAAAAATGGCAACGATATGGGGAAAGAGCAGGGGAGTGGAACTGAGTGGGCAGCTCTTCTAAAGGGCTGGCACAGGCACAAATGGGGCGAATGGCCTCCTTTTGTGTTGTAATATTCTATGATTGTTGTTATATCTTCATGCCCCACACTATACAAAAGTCATGACTTACTCGTGCATCTGTTATATGCTGGAACATTTTAATTTGTGGTGATAAGTTTGCCAGATGCCCATTTTGCTATATTCCTGGAACTATGTTCTATGGGCAAGTTTTCATATTTTTGCAGATGTATCCTTCTTTATAAAGAATCTATTAAGTTGTCATTTTTGCACCAAATAAATTTAAATCGCCTGATCTCCTGGTGTCTTCGATGCAAGATGACAAGAGACTGCTAAATGTTTAATCCTGTGCTTCGTGTGTCACATTTTTTAAAAAAAAACGCATAGCTCCCTCATTGTTTTGCAAATTAAACTCGAAATGCTTTTGCAGGCGATTCACAGATGGATGGCAAAAATTTGTGGCAAGTTGGTCATCCAAGTCTTGTACAGCAAGTGCAGTCAATAACAAGAAAACTGCAAGTTTAGTTACTCCACATGTGTTTGCGGGGCTTATATTCTCTTTAATTTTTTTAAAAAATAACTTTAGTTTGGTCACTCAATCCATGACTGTTTGTGGGACACTACTGTTTCACCTACAAAACATACAGTCAATCGATTTTACGATATATTCTGTGAAGCGCTTTGAGACGTCTTGAAGACGTGATAAGGCACTATATCTAATGCAAGGTTTATTATTATTATTCCAAAATAGACGATCAAACACATATGAACATATGAGATTAATGCTTTTTGGACATGTTGTAGTTTGGGAGGTGCTTTAAATATTCCTTCGCCCTTTATGTAGCTTAATATTGGCCCACTATCTAGCCTGGAGAATGTCACAAGAGCAGAATTGCTCCCGGCAGTCTTCAAGTCGAGTTTCTATGATGTTTCTCAAAATACGTAAAAATCCAACCTGCAGCCCAGCCCTCAATTCTCCCTATTTTTTTGCCTGTCGTCACCTGTATTCCAGTTCCTGTTTTCCCCCCAAATTCTTGCAGAAACCCTTTCCCCTTCAACCCTTTTGTGTCCTCAATCCGTCTTTAAATTCCATCTTAAAACCTACCTTTTTGCCAATGCGTATGATCGATTGCCTCCACCTCTCCTTTCTCACTTGCTCAGGGTCCAAGACATTCTACACCAAGGGCTCAATATAATAATATTAATCGTTGCATTTGATATAGCGCCTTTTCATGTCTTTGAGACGTCTCAAAGTGCTTCATAGAATATACTGTAAAGTGAATTGACTATATATTTTGTGGGTGAAACACGGCAGCCAATTGCACACAGCAGTGTCTCACAAACAGTCGTGGACTGAGTGACCAAATTATTAATGTTTTTGTTTATTTATTTGAAAGGATTATTACTCCCTGAAAAGTGATCCGCCAATCGACTAACAACCAGGTTCCTACTTACTGATGGGTAAACAAAGGCGTGTGGAGTAAGGAAACTTGCCTAACGTTTTGCCAATATAATTGTGAGTTGTTGTTGATTCAGAGCGAGCTAATAAGGTCCATAGAACAATGGCATCCTCTGCCTCACTATTCAGAGAAGCAGCGTAAAGACTGCAATTTCTTGTCTTGGGAGGGTTTTAAATTTTATTGGCCATGGTGCAGCCCCCACAGAACATCAGGCATTTTTGCATCTTGTCATTGATTATTTCCTTGGAGACCAAGTGGCTTCATTTGATCCTCCTCCACTCCCCAGGAGTCAGCATTCGGGATTTGGTTTTGATGTTTCCCTTTGTGCCTTTGGGAGAAACTCCACTCAATGAAGGGTCGGTTCTTAGAACTGTTGGTTGCTTGGATGTTTTTGAAGTTTCAGTTCTGGACGAGCCAAGCCCAGGTTCCTAGACTGAGTCTTAAATCTTCTAACGGATGCTTCTAGACTTCAGAGGGCAATGGTAGATACACTTGACATTCAGGAAGATCTCCCGTGAAGGCGCATAATATTGTTGGGATCACATGGGGATCCTTTATGGTTCTAATATATTCTAATGTTTTATGGTTTTTGGAAACAGGAGTGCAGTAGAGAGTTTGTGACAGTCTTAACATTTCGCTTCCATTTTCAAAACTTGTATCAGTAGAGTTGCAGAACTGTGGCAATTGCCCCATGCCTTGTGCCACTGTGTTTATCTGAGGTGGAATACGTGGAGGCCTATATCTTAGTGCGCTTGCCTCGCAAGCGAGAGAACCTGTGTTTGATTCCAGGGCAGGACGAAATGTTGGGCAAATTTCCTTACTTCACACACCTCTGTTTGCCTAGCAGTAAGTGGGAACCCGGTTGTTAGTCGACTGGTGGATCACTTTTCCGTAGGTAATATTCCCTTTAAAATTAAATAAAATAATAATAATTTGGTCACTCAAACCATGACTGTTTGTGGGACACTGCTGTGGGCAATTGGCATCCGCAAATTATACCGTCATTTGTCTTGACAGTATATTCTGTGAAGCGCTTCGAGACGTCTCGAAGACGTGATAAGGTGCTCAAATGCAAAGATTATTATTCCTCAATGGAAATATCCCAATAACTTGGTACCAGGCAGTGTTGGGTCTTATTTGGGGTCTGCTGCATTATTGTACTGTTCAGTGGGGGAAAAAAATCCATCTCCCAGCATTTGAGTATTGTTTGAGCTTCTGTTCAGTAACTTTTTTTCTCTCGCTTTTCTCTCTTCCTTTCTTATACCTCTCAATTTCTTTTCATCGATGATCTCTAAAGCTACTTCTGTGCTGCTTCTGACCTGATTATCTCTCACTCTTACCTTCCAACTCTGCTGGTGAGTGTGTGTGTGTGTGGGGGGGTGGGGGGGCGGAGGGGGGAAAAGGCTGCCACTTAACCCAACTCCAAATCAATTGTGGCAAAACAAGTTAGACATGTTAAGTCACTTTCAAAGTGTTTCTCTGAAATGGAGCAAATTTCTAACCACTAAAATAACTGAAACATGTCTTTTTTTCAAGACCCTCCTCTTCGACTATGCTTTTGATCTCCCTGCTTCCCCCCACTGCCCTCGCTTAATTTAATTCACCCTCCCTGATTCCAAAACTCTGTCTGTCCAGTGTCTTTGGGAAGTCCTCCCAATCTGAATGGCGCTATACAAATATAATTTTGTTGTTGTTTTATACACTGAAAAAAAATTCGGCAATTAGTATGGAATGTGCAAGTTTCTTTTTTCAAATATATTATATATACACATTTATATAATATACACAATGGGTGACCAAAAGGTTGTGATACCATTACAATATCTAATAAGTCTTAAAGAAATTATTTTTGTTTAGATAATCGGGTAGTTATCACGACCTTTTGGTCACACTGTGTATGTACATATGCATAGATATACTGTAGATATATACATAGTGGGCATTTCGCCCACAAAACATTCAGTCAGTTCATTTTACAGTATATTCTGTGAAGCACTTTGAGAATTCTCGAAGATGTGATAAAGCACTATATGAAATGCAAGGGTTATTATTATTTTCCACCTCCAATCTTCCTTCCTCATCTCCTCAAGGCTATAGTTCCATGGGTGCTGGTCACGTTTCAAAACCTCACTCAAATACCGAGTCACGTATTTCAGCTCTTCTTCCATATGTGAGCCTGGCCAGTGAGTGAGGACTGAAGCAATCGGTCCATCTGGTGTGGCTTAAATGGGCTTAAATGACATCAAAGTTCCAAGTCCTTTCCTTAACAACATGCAATTTCCAGCACAGACCACCAGAGGGCGATCTGGAACCACAGCCGTTGGTGCTTCCTATTTCCATGCCAGCCTTGCGCCCTCCCCTTGCCTCCTTCAGGGAAGCTGGTGGCCAACTCCAGCTTCCTTAGTGCAGCCCTGACTGGTGCCACCTCACTCCATACTGAAATGAGCGATGAATCTCGTATCTTTCTAGTTCACATGGTTCAGTGTGTGCCGTACAGTGGCTTTGCCAAGTGAGCAAGCATCCTCAACACTGCTCCACATTAGTGCGTTGGGGTCGCTCATGATTCAATATAATTTTGGGGGCTGAGTGGATGTGCCAGAGGACCTGGGTTCTCCTACACACCTCTGTTTACTTAGCAGTAAGTAGGAACCCGGTTGTTGGTCGATAGGCGGATCACTTTTCCAAGGGTATTAATCCCTTAGTTTTTAAAAAAAATTGGTTACTCAATTCACTGATGTTTGTGGGACACTGCTGTGCACAATTGACTGCCATGTTTCGCCCACAAAACATAGTCAATTCACTTTACAGTATATTCTGTGAAGCGCTTTGAGATGTCTCGAAAAGGTGATAAGGCACTGTATCAAATGCAAGGATTATTAATCACAGTAATTATAATCCTTGCATTTGATATAGTGATTTTCACATCTTCGAGACATCTCAAAGCGCTTCACAGAATATACTGTAAAGTGAATTGACTGCCTGTGGGCGAAACGCGACAGCCAATTGCGCACAGCGCTTATTATTATATCAGAATGGAAGCACATTTCTTGGAGGATGACACAGATATTTCCCCTGTAACTTGGATCCCTTGATGAGAAGTGACTAAGGTCCCAGCTGTGCGAGCCTGAGCTTGGCTGTTGGTGGCTTGGAGGCTGGTACATCCATTGGATTTAATCGAGTCCTATCTGTGGATGTCCAGATTCTCATTACTCATCCACGCATTTGTTACACCCAAGCTCGACTACGCCAACTCCCTGCTTGTCGGCCTTACCAACTCTTCCCTCCACAAGCTGCAGGTCATCCATAACTCTGCATGTCCTCTCCCGCACTGGGCTCCATGACCCTATCGCCTCCACCCTCACCCGGTTCCACTGGCTCCCCATCCCTCAGAAAATAGAGTTTAAAATCCTTGTCCTCAACCTTCAAGGTCCTCCACGGCCTTGTTCCTTCCTACCTCTGTGACCTGCTAACCCCATATCAACCTGTCCACTCCCTCTGCTCAGTAGGCTCTGGCCTGCTCCACGTTCCCCCACCCAGCTCGTGCTATCAACCTCTCTGCCCCCACCCCTTGGAACTCCACTCCACAGTCCCTTCGCCTCACTCCCTCCCTTGCCTCCTTCAAGGTGCATCTCAAGACCCTCCTCTTCGACCGCGCCTTTGGTCACTCTCCTATCCGTACGCTCCCTGTCCTCCACCCTCCTGATCCTAATCCCCTGCTTGGGTCCAAATCCCTGACTGTCCAGCGCCTTGAGACGTCCTCCCAACATGAAAGGCGCTGTGCAAATGTAACTTGTTGTACAGTTTTGTTCAGTATTCCAAACCAGTTCAGTGGTAGATGGCTGAATTTAAAAGGTGCAGAGAATATTTCAGTAAAATTATACCCTTCATCACTCGACAGCAGGGTTATGCGATTGTGCTCCATCCCCTTGGATTAAGTTTGTATCTCAGTCGAAGAAAAACAAGTAGACTAAGGCAAGCTGATTTTCTACCTTACATAATAATACTAATCCTTGCACTTGATATAGCGCCTTATCACTTCTTCGAGACGCCTCAAAGAGCTTCACAGAATATATTGTAAAGTAGTTGCACTGAGTTTTGTGAAGCGCTTTGGGACGTCTCGAAGACGTGATAAGGCGCTATATCAAATGCAAGGCTTATTATTGTTATCATTATTTCTAAATGCTTTGATTTTAACCGTTTTCAAATGCTGATCACTATTTTTGCTGCATCACACGTTTGGGTGAGTGTAATAATTAACCAGCACATAACTCTGTCGTGTACAGGCAAGGCAACTGGATCCCGTTCATCACTTTCTTCGCCTTAGAAGAAGGGTGCACAAAAATGTGGAATATATTGTTCCCAACAGAATGGACTACATCCAGGACCAGGTAATAATAGTTTACTGGAATTTCACTCGGAATATGAGCCTGCCTAAGGTTGTATTGGAAACTGAATCTGGGGTTGCAATTGAAGGGATGCAGGGTGAACAGGCCTGCAGATGGGAGAAGTGGGGAGGTACTGACTTGTATGTTGGATTGTAACGTGGAATACGTAGCTGTATCCATGATCCATTATTTTTGAGCTGATATAGCAGATGGAACGTTGTGGTTAGAGCACTCGCCTCACAAGCGAGAGGACCTGTTTGCGATTCCCAGGCGGGATGAAACCTTAGGCAAGTTTCCTTATTCCACATGCCTCTGTTGACCTAGCTTGTTTGTTCCACCTGTTCAGGTAGACAATAAAGGTCCCACAGATTAACTGCTCATTTAATAACGACTTGCATTTATATAGCGCCTCTCACACAGGGTAGCGTCCCAGAGCGTTTGACTGTGGCGGAGCACGATGCCGAACTAGGAGAGGTGACCGTAGGCGCGGTCCTCAGTCGCGACCTGAAGATGGGGAAGGAAGGGGCAAGGTGGAGGGATAGAGGAAGAGTGTTCCAGAGTTTTGGGGCGTAGTGGCTGAAAACACGGCCACCGATGGTGGAACAGAGGGCACGGGGGGCATGCAGGAGGCCGGAGCCAGTCGAACGGAGGCAGTGGGTTGGGGGGCCAGTCGGTCTTGGCAGTTTACAGGATCCAACATCAACCACGTGCCTATCAATACAGTCAGTGCACTTGAGAGTAATTACTTGTGAGGCACTTTGAGGTCCTTTTGAATGTGTTAAGGTGCAATCAAAGTGGATTTTTTTTCTTTTCTAAAATTGAGAAACCTACAGGAATCATTTCGATTTCAACTGCACAGAACAGAAAGTGATTGATTACCATTAAACTGAGGGAACAGTCTACATGAACAGGCGACTTGCACCTCAGTTTGGCTCATCCAAAGGATGCACTTCTTGTAATGGAGTGCTTCCCAGCATCAGCCTAACACTGAACACACTTGATCCCAAAGGCTTAACAACTGAGCCAAGCTGAAGTGTCGCATTACGTTGACATCTCTAACGATATATTCACTTTGTCTTTTACCGCAGCTTTTTGATGAAGTTGAAATCATCGCCGTGAATATTCATTACGTGCGTCTTGAGAGGACAGGACCTGAAACTGCCTTTGGTAAGTGCTTTTGTCAGTCTATGTTTCTCGTAAGTGGAAAAGCAATGGATGATGAATTTTGCACCATTTTTCCATATACAATAATCCTTTCCTTTGATAAAGCATTTATCACGTGTTCGAGTCATCCCAAAGCACTTCACAGAATATACTGTAAACTGAATTGACTGCATAATTTGTGGACGGAACATGGCAGCCAATTGTGCACAGCAGTGTCCCACAAACACTCGTGGATTGAGTGACCAAATAATTATTATCTATAAACTGCAACCACTTTAGTGGATGGCTAAAATAAATGCAAATGCACACCAGTCTGACAATGCACTCTTTTTAAAAAGTCCAGAGATCCCTTCAGTAAATATATGATGCAAAAGTAGACAAGAACCATTGTCACGTTTTCAAATCCGTTCATGCCCTGGCACCTCACTACTTCTCCGACCTGCTTACCCACCAACCCACAACCTGCTACCTCCGCTCGACCGGCTCTGGCCTCCTGCATGTCCCCCGTAGCATGCATTCCACCATCGTTGGCTGTGCTTTCAGCCACTATGACCTGAAACTGTGAAACACTGTGTCTCTATCCCTCCTCCTTGCCCCTTCCTTCCCCATCTTCAGGTCTTCCCTGAAGACCTTCCTTTTTAACCGTGCCTACGGTCACCTCCCTCCTCCACCAGCTCAGCGGCTTGCTCCGCTACTGTGCTGCGCTCTGGGACGCTGCCCTGTGTGAGGGGCACTGTGCAAATGCAAGTTGTTGTTCTCACCATCAATAATTTGCGAGACTATAGTAGTTGTAGAGAGTTTCTGGCTTGCAAACCAACATTCCTGACCTCAGTGCACCTTTTAAGCTTCACATTTATATTTCAATATATGTTTCTGTGTAACAATGGCAAGTTCCATGTTTACGCAAATCTTTAGTGAGGAAAGCTCAATAAACTTCCATGAGGCACACTGTTCATTTGTGCAAGACTGATACATCTCTGCCCCCACCCTTTGGAACTCAATCCCACAGTCCCTTCATCCTTGCTCCCTCCCTTGCCTCCTTCAAGGCACAGCTCTAGACTCTCATCTTTGACCTTGCCTTCGGCCACCCTCCCTGCCCTCCACACCTGCTGATCTCAACCCCCAGCTCGGGTCCAAATCCCTAACTGTCCAGCGCCTTGCGACCTCCTCCCGATGAAAGGTGCTGTGTAAATGTAATTTGTTGTTGATGAAGTGCCAACTAAACATTAAATAGCAATAATGTGTTCTTGGTACAGGAATATTAATACTTTCTTTTCCTCCTTTCTTCCCCTAAAAGGGTTTGCAGTCGCTGGACAGTTTGATGGGAAGCATCAACACAGTTCTTTGTTTGTGAGCGATGTTCTCCCTGATGGACTGGCCTTTGGAGAAGGTATTGCTATTTGCATATGTATATGATTGGTCTTGCATTTGATATAGCGCCTTTCACGTTAAAAGGATTACTCAAGATTTTTATTGTATTTGAAGGTGAATGTGGTAGCCAATTTGGGCACAACAATGCACCTCAATGAACCACAAAGTCAATGTCCAATATAATAACAATCTTTGCATTTGATATAGCATCTTATTAAGTCTTCAAAACCGCTTCCTAGAATATATTGTAAAGTGACGGATACCGGCCTCCTGCTCATCCCTCGCGCCCTCCTCCCCACCATCGGAGGTCATTCTTTCAGCACTAAACCCCGAAACTCTGGAACACTCTTCCTCAATCCCTCTCCTTTGTCCAATCTCCCCCTTTTCAAATCCCACCTGAAAACCTTTGACCGTACTTACGGCCATTTCTCCCCGCCCCATCCTAGCACATGGAGTCAGCCTCCGTCGCTGTTAAGCGCTCTGCGACGCTGCCCTGTGTCGAGGGCACTATGTTGTTGTATAATATATATCGCAAATTGCAATATTCGTTTCTTGGAATAGCAATTGCTAATATATATGTGTATACGAAGACATAATACGGCGCTACATCAAATGCATGGACTATTTATTATGAGAGTGAAGCTTCCTCTACTTTGCCCTACCTGTACGCCTGTACGAACTCTGCAGCTCGTGTACTGTCCCGCACCAGACTTCGCGACCACATCACTCCCACCCTCGTTCGCCTCCACTGGCTCCCCATCCCCCAGAGGATCGAATTGAAGATCCTCATCCTCACCTACAAGGCCATTCACGGCCTTGCTCCCTCCTACCTCTCTGACGTGCTATCCCCCTACTTACCTGCCCGTACCCTCCTTTCCTCTGGCTCCGGTCTGCTCCACATCCCCCGCCCCAACCGCCCTACCATCGGTGGCCGGGCCATCAGCCTCTCAGCCCCGAGGCTCTGGAACTCCATCCCCCAGTGCCTTCGCCGCCTCCTCCCTTTCCTCCTTCAAGGGCGGTCTCAAGACCTTTCTCTTTGACTGTGCTCTTCTCTCGACTCTCTACCCCCTCCTCGCTCCCTCCCTTCCCCCCCCCCCCTCACCCTGACCATTTGCCCCCTGCTTGGGTCCTGACCCAACTGTATAGCGCCTTGGGTCGTCCTCCCAACGTGAAAGGTGCTCTATAAATGGAATCTTGTTGTTGTTGTTTTGCTCTAATCTCAGAAGAATACACCCCACATTATTGTTGCGGCATCCGTTTTTGCAGTAAAATCACCCGAACTGGGTTTAAAACTGTTCATTCTCATTTCATGTAGCAACACCCACACAGCAAGAGAAAATAGACGTTCATCCTTTTAGTGTGGGCAAGATGCAAACCCAGATCAAAGGAGTCTGTGGTTATTCAGGACTCCTTTGTATAGATGGGGTGGGGGAGAGTAATACTGTAACTTCCCTTTTAAGTCTCGATGTCAATAAATAATGTAGGAAGATTCACATAATAAAAACAATCACAAGATGTAACATAGGTCCAGCCTGCTCCATGTCCCCCGCCTGGCCCACCCCACCATCAGCGGTCAGCACTCTCTGCTCCCAACCTTTGGAACTCCATCCAACAGTCCCTTCATTTTGCTCCCTTGCCTCCTTCAAGACCCTCCTCTTCGACTGCACCTTTGGCCACCCTCCTAACCTTACCCTTCTGCCATCCACCCCTCCTGATCCCAACCCCCTGCTCATGTCCAAATCCCTGACTGTCCAGCAGCTTGGGACGTCCTCCTGAGATGAAAGGCGCTGTGTAAATGTAAATTGTTGTTGTACTTCCACAAAAACAAGTAGTCTTTGCAAGCGAGAGACCTGAGTTCAATTCCAGGCAGAGGGCGAAACCTTGGGCAAGTTTCCTTACTCCACACAGAGCCTAATAATAATCCCTCCAAAACCAAAGACAATAAATAATTGGTCATTTTCAATCTACAACTGTTTGTGGGACATTGTTGTGCGCAATTGGCTGCCGCGTTCGCCCACAAATATACAGTCAATTCACTTTACAGTGTGTTCTGTGAAGCCCTTTGGGACGTCCTTCCGACGTGAAAAGCGCTATATCAAATGAAAGGATTATTATTATTGTTATTATAATCTAATCCACAATATTTAGATTGCAGATTAAACCAGATTTGAAACTCATTGCAACTTCCAGGTATCACAACCAGTTTATTTTTTGTAGAAATTATGTAATTAATATTATTAATAATGGCCATTAATTATAAATCATGAGAATCAACAAGGTGAAAAAATGTCAAGAAGCCACTAGCGATTATATAAGAAAACCATTTAGTGTAAAACTTGCATAAATCTCACCTGTCTAAGTCGTATAACCGCCCAAATCCAATGCCTTGGGACATCCTCCCGACATGAAAGATGCTGTATAAATGTCATTTGTTGTTGTTGATAATAAGTGCGGACGAAGAGGTAAATCTTAAAATGGGATTTAAAGGGAGATAAAGCGGGGGGCAAAGCGGAAGGAGATCCAGAGGTTGGGGGGAAGTGACTGAAGCAGGTCTGTACCAGCAGATTGAAGGGGGTGGGCAGAGGAGTGGGGTTTAAGTAACCATCAGTTTATTTTATTTCTCATTATATATGTTTAGCCACACAGATTTTCTTAAACTCCATTAATCAATGTTGAGATATTTGAATATTCAACGTGGGTACGAAACTTGTCAAAATAAAACGCTGACTTAGAATAAAAATAGTAATAATAATCCTTGCATTTGAATTGCACACAGCAGTGTCCCAAAAACAGTTGTGGATTGTGTGACCAAATTATTATATTTTTTGAAAGGATTATTACCCCCGGAAAAGCGATCCTCCCATCGACTAACAACCCGGCTCCTACTTGCTGCTAGGTGAACAGAGGTGTGTGGAGTAAGGAAGCTTGTCCAATGTTTCTCCCTTCCTGGGAATCAAACCCAGGTCCTCGCGCTTGTGAGGCGAGTTTAGTGCCTTGGGACATCCTCCCTACGTGAAAGGCACTGTACAAATGTAATGTTGTTGTTGTTGATTGCTCTAACCACTGCTTAGTGGATTAGTACAGGATTATCACGTCTTGGAGAAATCTCAAAGCGCTTCACAGAATATACTGTAAAGTGAATTGACTGTATTTTGTGGGCAAAATGTTAAATAAAATGTTACGGCTTCTGAACAGTTTCCTGGAGTGGACGTGGTAGTCTTGATCAAGGACCATTGACTAGGTTCGTAACAGTTTAGTCCCTTTACTTCCAGGTGTACGAATAGGAGATGAGATCTTGATCATAAATGGGGAAGTGGTGGCTGATCTGCAGCACACACGCATCGAATCCTTGTTTGCAGAGAACCATTTGATGCTGACTGTCAAAAGGCAGTCATGGGAATTGAGCCAAGCTTCACATGAATGCAACGACTTGTTAAAGCACGAGCCCATCGCTCCTCGACCTCCCAATCAATCAAAACTGCTGCAAGAGTTCATTGACAGCCTCCTACTTCCTATCCCTTCTGGTAAGAGCGTTTTTCTGTCTTCATATGAAGCAACATGGACATAGGTGAACGTAATGCCTCAGCAGAGATTGATCAACTTCTTTTTTTATAATAAATAATCCTTGCATTTGATATAGCGCTTTATCACGTCTTCGAGGCGTCTCAAGGTACTTCACAGAATACACTGTAAAATGAATTGACTGTGTGTTTCGTGGGCGAAACACAACAGCCAATTGTGTACAGCAGTATCCCACAAACAGTCGTGGATTAGTGACCAATTTTTAAAAAATTTTTTTTTGAAAGGATTCAAAACCACTAAGATACGGGACTCCACAAAACTTCTAAACTTCAATGGCTGATTAAAAAAACGCTGCTGTTTAAAGTACTGTTCTCTCACCTTTTTGAATTTCCACAAAATAAAATATGCGTTCGTGGAGAATATTTGTGGTACACGTGGTTGGTGAAAAGAAACTTTCAATTGATTCCGCATTTCACCCACAAAATATACTATCAATTCACTTTACATTATATTCTGTGAAGCACTTTGAGACATCTCAAAGTCGTGATAAGGCGTTATATCAAATGCAAGGATTATTATTATTTTATAACCATTGCAAGAGTCTGAAAACTGAATTATTATTAACGGTTTCCTCCTTACACAGGTTGCAGAATTGGTGCATACATTTGTACCATGTTAGGTGCATGGTATACTTTCCTAGTTTTGTGGAGTCCTGTAGTCAAGTGCAAAGGTTATTACTTTTAAATGTGGAAAAACAGTTGGAATAACATTGAGGAATAAAGCAGGTTTCAGATGACATTGCTCTACAGCATAGAACATTGCTGTTAAACATAAGAGATGTTTGACGCCTTCCCCTTTCTTTAAAACTGCAATCAATCATGGTTCAAAAGCACATTGAAACAGGAATGGGTAAGACAAACCACAAATGAACTGATGTATTACCTGATGTATTGCATACTGATGTACATAAACCACATTGACCTTCAACCTAAAAGTCCGGTATGAGGATGAGCTGGCTACTCATTCAACAATAACAACAAGATTGCATTTATAAAGCGCTTTTCACATCGGGAGGACATCCCAAGGCGCTGGACAGTTGGGTTGGGACCTGAGCAGGGAGGAAATGGTCAGGGTGAGGGGAGGGGAGGGAGGGAGCGAGGAGGGGGTAGAGAGTCGAGAGGGGAGCTGAAGGCACGGTTGAAGAGAAAGGTCTTGAGACCGGCCTTGAAGGAGGAAAGGGATGAGGCGGCGAAGGCACTGGGGGATGGAGTTCCAGAGCCTCGGGGCTGAGAGGCTGAAGGCCCGGCCACCGATGGTAGGGCGGTTGGGGCGGGGGATGTGGAGCAGACCGGAGCCAGAGGAACGGAGGGCACGGGCAGGTAAGTAGGGGGATAGTAGGTCGGAGAGGTAGGAGGGAGCAAGGCCGTGAATGGCCTTGTAGGTGAGGATGAGGATCTTGAATTCGATCCTCTGGGGGATGGGGAGCCAGTGGAGGGGAGCGAGGGTGGGAGTGATGTGGTCCCGAAGCCTGGTGCGGGACAGTACACGAGCTGCAGAGTTCTGAATGACCTGCAGCTTATGGAGGGAGGGCCGGGAAGGCCGACGAGGAGAGAGTTCCCATAGTCCAACCTCGAGGTGATAAAGGCGTGGACCAGAGTTTCAGCAGCATGAGGGGTGAGGTAATGGCGTAGTCTGGCGATGTTCCGGAGGTGATGGAAGGCGGTGCCAGTTGTGGTGCGGATGTGAGGGAGAAAGGACAGCTCAGGGTTGAACAAAACGCCGAGGTTCCTAACCGGCTTTGAGAGGTGGAGAGTGCACCCTTGGATGCTGATGCTGTCAGCGCCTGAGGTGCGGAGGCGCTGACGCGAGCCAACAGGAGGGCCTCAGTTTTGCGCACATTGAGCTGAAGAAAGTTGTCCCTTGTCCAGGACTCGATGTCGGACAGACAGCTGTCAGGACAGCGGGGGTCGTGGAGTTGAGGGTAGACGAGGAAAGGTAGAGTTGGGTGTCATCCGCATACATGTGGGAGTTAACCCCATGTCTGCAGATGATGTCACCGAGGGGGAGCGTATAGAGGGTGAAGAGGAGGGGACCGAGGAGAGAGCCCTGAGGGACACCGCACGAAACAGTGCGGGGGCCGGAGGAAAAGCCATTTGCAAAGACAAAATGAAGATGGTGGGAGAGGTATGACCTAAAGCATTCAAGGACAGGGCCTTGAAGGTTGAGGTGGTAGGACAAGCGGTGGAGGAGGATAGCGTGGTCGATCCTATCGAATGCGGCCGATAGGTCGAGGAGGCAGAGGGAGCCCTGATTGCAGATGGTGAAGATGTCATTGGTGACCTTGACCAGGGCAGTTTCCGTGCCATGGGCAGCACGGAAACCAGACTGGAGGGGTTCAAACAGTGAGTGGGTGGAGAGGAAAGAGCGCAGCTGGGAGGCGACGACTCTTTCGAGAGTCGCTTTCCCTTTTGATGTTGCAATTTGAAATCATTTCCGTCATAAAGGCGATCAGAAATGTGAAACAGCATTCAGATGAGGAGTCTTCCAACTGAATACATCCGCCAGGCTATGTATATTCCTCCCCTACCTATTCAATTTCTTCCTCCCCGCTCCCCCACCTGCTGCCTCCACTCGGCTGGCTCTGGTCTCCTGTTTGTCCTTCATCGCCTCCACTTCACCATCGGTGGCCGTGCCTTCAGCCACGATGCCCCGAATCTCTGGAACTCTCTCCCTCGATCCCTCCGCCTTGCCCTCTCCCTGCAGCATTCTTGCAGCATCGCTCGCCATACTCACCACGTGACTCCCATCTGTGGCTAAACCAATGTCCTATGCAGTATTTTCCCGATGGGAAGGGGAGTAGGTCTATAATTAAGATGTATATCTCAATTTTCCTGGCGATATGCTTGGTAAAGGAATGTGGAATCCTGTAGCTCAGTGGTTAGTGCACTCGCCTCGCAAGTGAGAGGACCCGGGTTTGATTCCCGGGCAGGGCGAAACGTCTGGCAATAATAATAATAATCCTTGCATTTGATATAGCGCTTTTCACGTCGGGAGGACGTCCCAAAGCGCTTCACAGAACAAACTGTAAAGTGAATTGACTGTATATTTGTGGGCGAACGCGGCAGCCAATTGCGCACAGCAATGTCCCACAAACAGTCGTAGATTGAAAATGACCAATTTATTATTGTTTTGGGTTTTGGAGGGATTATTATTAGGCTCTGTGTGGAGTAAGGAAACTTGCCCAAGATTTCGCCCTCTGCCTGGAATTGAACTCAGGTCTCTCACTTGCAAAGCGAGTGCTCTAACCACTGAGCTACAGGACTCCACGCAAGTTTCCTTACTCCACCCGCCTCTGTTTACCTAGCAGTAACTAGGAACCCAGTTGTTATTTGATTGTCGGATTGCTTTTCCGGGGATAATGATCTCTCAAGAAAAAGAATAATAATTTGTCTATGCAATTGGCTGCTGTGTTTTGCCCCCAAAATATACAGTCAATTCACTTTACAGGATATTCTGTGATGCCCTTTGTGACGTCTTAAAGATGTGATAAGGCACTATATCAAATGCAAGGATTATTATTATTAGAGTGCTTGGTGTGTTTCTGTCCTAGCCACTGAAATATTGACACAATGTGTTTGAAGGGATTTGAGATTTGCTAAAAATATGAATTCACTTGTTTTCTGCAAAACACCAAGTTTGTTTCCCAACAACACTATATCTGAGACTCTGGCTGTTGCGCTGCTGTAGTAAAACAGTAAGTGAAGGAAGGAAATTATTCTTTTAGGTGTGATACCAACTTGACTGTTCATTGGAGCAGAAACCAGTTTTTACTTGAGGTCGTGCAAAGAGGTTTGTGTGGCTGGGAACAGTGTTGAGGTCTCGGGCCCTGGCTACTTCAGATCAGACTGGGCTAAAAATCTGAATTATAGTTAGCCCGTTCATTTTTGTGATCGGCTTAGCAAGCCAAAAGCAAACTTAGTGTGGTTTGTTTTCTGCTTGATGATGATTCCACTTGGAATATCAGACATTTGAATTATACAAGCAGATGTTCTACATCCCTGACATGTCCAGGGCCTTGGGACATCCTCCTGATATGAAAGGCACTGTGTAAATGTAAGGTTGTGGTGTTGTAAAGTGGTGTGATTATTATCACATTTTTGCTTAGCAACCTCTTTACTCCCTTTACTTTAGCCAGGCAGAGAGATTTCACATCGCTGTCGGTCTCACCTAAACTACAATCAGAAGTACACACTCAGTACAAATGCCCACACACTTAAGTCTTACACAAAACTGATAAGAGACTTCATTTAAAACAACAAGCTTTCCCATTGCTTGTCCAGCTAGGACCATCCTACCCGTTAGGGCTTTGGTTTGCAGGGTTAACAGTTGCTGAGTGGGATGACTCCGTGCCCCCAGTGACTGGTCTGCCCATCCAGGTCCTGTTGATTAGCCGGGCTGAGCTGTGCTGTTATCAGCAGTGCCCTGGAATACTGCGGACCCTCCTGGCTCAGGAACCGGACTGGAGGCCGTCACAGAGGCCTGGCTCGATTCTGACATTCCGTTGCCAAACATGTCACCTTGGGGCCAGTTCAGCTCCAAGGAGGACCCCCCCACACCTTGTTCAGCTCCCAAGGAGGACCCCCCCCCACCACCTTTGACTCTTTGTTTGCCAATGAGCAAAAAGGAGTAGGAATTCCGGAACAACAATACAATAATGATATTCTTTGCATTTAATATATATATGTGTGTGTGTGTGTGTATATATATATATATAGCTATAATATCATCAATGTCCCAAAGCACTTCAAATGTGGCAGCAAAATAGCATGAAGAAATGTACCTCAAACAGCCATGAGGTGAATGACTGATTTTACCTTGAAGACTGTTGGCCAGAACACTGGAAGAAACTCCCTTCTCGTGTCAGGTACCATCGTGGGGATCTTTAAGAACCATGAAAACAAGCAGATTTAGGCTTCAGTTCTCACTCAAGGACAGCACCTCTGACAATGCCGCACTCGCCCTGCATTAGAGTGTCAGCCTGGACTGTGAGCTCAAGGTCCTGACATGCGGCTTGACCCCACAACCTTCTCACACAGAGGCGAGACCACTACTAACTGAGCCCGGCTGACACACAAGCTTACCAGAGGAAGAACCATTTGCAGTGTTTGAAACCCTCGTATCTTGAAGGTGTGAACCAAATAGTGAAATGGAAAGTCATAATTTTTGCAAATTTATTCTGTTGCTCCGTAGTTAGAGCACTCGCATCGCATGCAAGAGGATCTGGGTTTGAGCCGGGCAGGTCAAAATGTTGGGCAAGTTTCCTTACTCTACATGCCTCTGTTTACCTAGCAATAAGTAGGAACAGGTTGTTAATCGATTGTTGAATTGCTTTTCCGCCAGTAATAATCCCTTCAAAAAATAAATAAATAATAACAAAAAATTGTGGGATGCTGCTGTGTGCAATTGGCTGCAACATTTCGCCCACAAAATATACAGTCAATTTATTTTACAGTATATCCTGTGAAGCGCTTTGAGAAGCCTCAAAGTGATAAGGTGCTGTATCAAATGCAAGAATTATTATTACGTAGGTAGAAAATCAGCTTGCCTTTGCCTCCTTGTTTTTCTTCGACTGAGATGCAAACTTAATTCAAGGGGATAGAGCACAATCCTAAATATTCTCTGTATCTTTTTAAATTCAGCCATCTACGACTGAACTGGCTTGGAATGCTGAACAAAACTGTACAAAAACAAATTACATTTACACAGCACCTTTCATGTCGGGAGATGGTCCCAAGGCGTTGGACAGTCAGGGATTTGGACCCAAGCAGAACATTAGGATCAGGAGGGGTGGAACATAGGGGTAGGAGGGTGATCGAAGATAGTCAAAGAGGAGGGTCTTGAGATGGAGGCAAGGGAGGGAGCAGGGCAAAGGGTACTGTGGGATGGAGTTCCAAAAGGTGGGGACAGAGAGGCTAAATGCCCGACCGCCGATGGTGGGACTGGCTGGGTGGAGGAAGTAGAGCAGGCCAGAACCTGCTGAGTGGAGAGAGTGGACGAGCTTATATCGGGCTAGTGGGTTACGGAGGTAGGAAGAAGCAAATCCATGCGCACAGCCGTGTCCTACGAACATGGATTGAGTGACCAAATTGTTTTTATTTGAAAAAAAAAGTTTTTAAGGGATTGATACCCCTGGAAAAGTGATCCACCAATCGACTAACAAACACGTCCCTACTTACTGCTAAGTAAACAGAGGCATGTGGAGTGAGTAAACTTGCCTAACCTGCCCGGGAATCAAACCCAGGTCCTCTCGCTTGCGAGATGAGTGCTCTAACCACTGTAGCTACAGGACTCCACTGTTGCATCTAATGAGCTAAATTAACAAATGTACTTGTCCACTTTTATCCTGTTCCTCTTACTGTCTACTGTTTCATTGAAAGCTTGAATGGAGCATCTGAAAGCCAGAGGTCTGTTTCTTCTTTGAAGCATCAATGTAGTTGATGACTTTTTAAATATATGAATTATTTTTTTAGACTCGGCTCACAGTATATTTGAGGCTTTTTTTAAAACACAAGCTTTCATCATCTTTTGGCACGTATAAGAATGAAGCATCCAACACCTCCTCCTTACTGCTGCTAGTTAAACAGCTTTATCCTGGTATCTGCTGCTATTGGATGGAGCTTTTTCAGTAAGTAGGAGCTGTCTGTGAGGATACATTTAGTTGCTATAGAGAATTGGATGTGATGTTTTGTGACTTCAGTCCATATTAAAAGCTATGGAGAAATACGTTATCTTTGTGGCTGTGAAAGAAAAATTGTCTTCACCAGATAGGTATTTTCAATTGAAATTGGTGGGGAATTGAAGAACTAATGCACTATCCTGTGGATTAATATTGGATGTCAATGACCGCCTTCTGAGGTCGGGGGGGAACTGAAAGAGAGATTTGTGTTATTGTACAAGCTCTGCTTTCTGTTCACGGCAGTCAATTCGGAATCTTTTCCCCTCGTACCTTAATTGTGCCCAGTGTTTTTAGAAGACCTTTTGTTGGTGTCACTCAAATTCAGGTAGGCATGCAAAGACTGGCTTTATTAAACTGGGATTGCTCCAACCTCCTGAATAATAATGATAATAATATTAATCCATGCATTTGATATAGCGCCTTATCGCGTCTTCAAGACCTTTCAAAGCATTCTCAAAATACACTGTAAAGTGTAGTGACTGTGTAAATTGTAAACTGAATTGACTGTATAGTTTGTGGGTGAAACGCGGCATCCAATTGCGCACAGCAGTGTCCCACAAACAGTCGTGGATTGATTGACCAAACTATTATTGTTGTTTTTGTTTGAAGGGATTATTGCTCCCAGAAAAGCGATCTACCAATTGATACCAATCTACCATCCTGTTACTCTAGGTAAACAGAGGCACCTATTTAAAACTGTGTCACCAGTTTTAATCTTCCTTGGAGCTTCTGCAAAATCCTTGGCAGTAAAGATATTGTTTATTTGTGCCATTTGATTGTTTAGATTCCAAAAGATGCGTCACCGGTTCCTGTGGGCTTGGCGTCTGCGCACATCCACTGATGCTGCTGCTTACTTAATGGTTTTAATTTCATAGCGTGAAAGCAGGAATCTAGACTGACAGCCCCCAGGATAACTCAGCCATTGGAGGAGAAGGATTGTGGAATCGCGAGTGTAATTCCGTGGGGAATTATTCTGTTCAGACTTTTATTTTCAAACTTTTTATCCAATTTCAGATTTTACCGACGTGCCTGATGTTCCGACTGTGACTCGGAGTGCCACCACCGACTGCGTAGAGTCTCTCCACCAGGCTGACAAGCGTCCATCTTTTTCAAAGGTAAGCTATCAGATTCTTGTCTCCCTCTGTACATTTTTAATCTGTGGCTAAGTGGTTAGAGCGCTCGCCTCACAAGCGAGAGGACCCAGTTTCCTATTCCTGGCCAGGGCGAAACCTTAGGCGAATTCCCTTACAATAATCCCTTCAAAAAAAAAAAAAAAAAAAATTTGGTCACTCAATCCACGACTGTTTGTGGGGTACTGCTGTGTGGAGCAGTTGGCTGCCATGTTTCGCCCACAAAATACACAGTAAATCCACTTTATATTATATTCTGTGAAGGGCTTTGAGACATCTTGAAGACATGATAAGGCGCTATAACAAGTGCAAGGATTATTATTAACTTCAAAGGGAAATTATCAACTAGAAACATACAGTCAGCTGGTAAATAATAATCCTTGCATGAAGTTACAAATTAAATAGACTCTGAGATGCTGTCTTGCTGGTCAGGATGGTGTGTCTGAAATCAAATAAATACAGGTCTGGCTGAAGCATTGCATGTAAATTAAATAGAGGAGAATCCGTACGTGCTAAACTAGCTGTGATTGCAATGTGTTTTGCTTTTGATGTCATGCGATTCAGCTAATTCAGCCATGAATGGACTAAAAGACTGTTTTTCTTACCCAGTTGCTTCATTTTATGAGAAACTGCTGTGAAACATGCAGGTTTAAGGCAGAGTGGTTAGAACTCTGTCATAGTAAATGATCAAAATATTGTGTCTCAATAAAATACCAGTGAATGCCTTTCGGGGGATATGTTTTTATTTTTTAGTGGGGGAAGGAGCTGGTAAAATAATGAGCACAACTGGGATTGATAATTTTATACACACAAACAACACCTTGTCAGCAAACAAAAGCACTCGAATAAAACAGCAAATTTAAAACAAAGATGAATTGAATGTGAGCAGCGTTCTAATAAAAGTCTAACATATATTCCCGTGTAATACGCATTTGATACAGCACCAGGGTTTTTGACGCCTGTATGTTTTTAAACGAATGTGACAGCTACATTATTCACAGTAATATCCCCCATGAAGCGAACAATCAATTCAACTGGCAGATTGTTGGGTCAGAAACGGCCTCGCTCTAACATCCAAACATCTCAAAGTGCTTCACAGAGCTTTTTGTGAAAGAATAATGACTGCACAACTCCAGGTGCAGTGTAAAGCCCTCCAGGACCTATGTTGTTGTAATGATGCCAATGACATGCACCAACTCCCCAAGTTAACACCACGTACAAGTGTTTCGGAGCCTCCAGTCCTGGCTGTACTTCCCTATTTAATAATAATACTTGCATTTGATGTAGCGCTTTATCACGTCTTCGAGACGTCTGAAAGATCTTCACAGAATACAGTAGTAAAGTGATTTGACTGTATATTTTGTGGGCGAAACGCGGCAGCCAATTGCGCACAGCAGTATCCCACCAACAGTCGTGGATTGAGTTACCATATTATTATTTTCTCTGCCCCTCCCTCTCTTCCCCTCCCTCTCTGCACTCCCTCTCAGTCTATATGGAGGCGAGGAAAGAATAGGAGGGGGAAAAAGCTCAGAACTGGTGGAGTCTGTAAATATTTATTTAAAAATGGATTCAGCATCCGTTTAATTTAGGCGTTTATGATTGATACAGTCACAAACCTGTTCTTTGTGTGTGAATAGTTATTGCTGTTAAACTAAGTTTTTAGCATCAGAGCAAGAGGTGAGAGAGAGACATTTATATCTGAGAGGGAAATTTCCTGGATCGCTGCAGAATCTCATGAGTTAACGTAGATTTTCTTGTGAGGCCAATGGAAGTAGATTTCTCTGCAGCAAAATCCTCTTGAAGTGCAGTGCGATCAAAGTAGCATTGATTACGTCTGGTACAGCAGTGAGCGAATACTGCCAAGGTGACCAGATAATGTCATGAATTGAGGAAATAATAATATTACTAACCATATTGTTACAGAAATTAAAAATAAAAATCCTTTTACAATGAAACCCAAACTCTGTGACCTGCTAACTATCAACCTCTCCCTCAGCAGGCTCCAGCGTGCTCCACATCACCTCCGCCCGGCCCACCCCACCATCAGTGGTTGTAATTCAGCCTCTCTGCCCCCACCCTTTGCTTCTCTCCCTCCCTTGCCTCCTTCAAGGCACATCTCAAGACCCACCTCTTCGACCGTGCTTTCGGTCACCCTCCTACCTTCCCTGCCCTTCACCCTTCCTGATCCCAGCCCCCTGCTCAGGTCCAAATCCCTGACTGTCCAGCGCCTTAGGACGTCCTCCCGATGTGAAAGGCGCTGTGTAAATGTCATTTGTTGTTGCTGTTGTCAGCGCCTTCTCGACCTGCGCATGGACCTGCATGAGCCAGTGGAGAAACTTTTTCAATCCCCAACGATCCTTCACAGCTTACTGCTGGGTTCAGGTTTCTTTCACCTCCATAACATGCCCACTTCCGCCAGAGAGGCCCTCTTGATTTCATCCTCACCTTCAAATGCCTACACAGCCTCGCCCTGTTGTACCACTCTGACCTCCTGCAACCCTACTGTCCCAGTCACTCACTCCACTCAAAAAACACTGACCTGCTTCACGTTCCCCACACACTCCGCTGCACCATCGATGAGCAAACCTTCATTCTGTGTCTACTCTGCAGATCCCCCGCCTTCTCCCTCCCTCTCTCCCCATGTTCAAAACCAGCCTTAAGATCTATTCCTTTGACTTGCTTTCAGCCACCTTTCCCTCGCCCTCCTCCGCTTCCCAACCTCACAGCTCAGGGTCCAAGTAAGCCCTGTGAAGTGAAGTGCTTTGAGACATCCTCCTAACATGAGAGGCCCTGTACAAAAGTAAATTATTGAATGGAAGCTACATTTTGACATGGACTTTAGAATACTTGGGCCAATTTACACTGCATAAGTCCAGATATGGATTTAATATTGAATTGGGTGGAGGGAAAGGATTATTTTTGCTCTGGACTCCAGAACGATTCATACCATTTGAGTCTTGTAGCTCAGTGGTTAGAGCACTCGACTCGCAAGCAGGAGAACCTGAATTTGATTCCTGGGCAGGGCAAAACGTTGGGCAAGTTTCCTTACTCCACACGCCTCTGTTTATCTAGCAGTAAGCAGGAACCCATTTTTTAGTCCATTGCCAGATCACTTTTCTGGTGGTAATAATTCATTTAAAAAAATTGTAGTCACTCATTCTACAAAAAGTGGCAAAAAACACTCTAAATGCAGTTTCATGCCCTGAATGGGAGAGCTTTAACATTGGACATTAAGGGGAGAAACCTTAGGCAACTTTTCTTCCACTATATACCTCTGTTTACCTAGTAGTAAGTAGGAACCTGGTTGTTAGTCGATTGGCGGATTGCTTTTCTAAACGTAAAAATCGCTTCACAAAAAATAAATAATAATATGGTCACTCAATCCATAACTATTTGTGGGACACTGCTGTATACAATTGGCTGCCATGTTTCGCACACAAAATATACAGTCAATTCACTTCACAGTATATTCTGTGAAGTGCTTTGAGATGTCCTAAAGCCGTGATAAGGCTATATCAAATGCAAGGATTATTATTGTTGTTATGCCATTTGAGGTGCTACACTGTCAGTGCCCAATATACAGGCGTGTGAAGGAGGCTTTGTCAATGTGGCATTTGGATGTGCGCCATTTCATATCATCTTTTCTGCATTCAACAAACTAGATCTTTCAGTCGACTTGTTCTTTAAGTATTACTCAGTCATTCCAGACCTTGGGACGTCCTCCCAATGTGAAACGTTCTATACAAATGTATTTTGTTATTGTTGTAGTCGATGTCGATCTTACCTTCCTTCATGTCAAACACCAAATGTTATTGAGATCGAGATATTGGCCTTTTAAGTCCTGTTCGATGGTGTTTTTAGTGCTGTTTTGTGAACTCACTTAAATTGTGACGAGAGCTGGCCTGATAAAGTGCAGTAGTTTGGCAGTTCTTGACAGTAGTGCTGTTCCTGTGACTGCTGTGTAATTTCATGCATCATTAGCCCTTCGAAGTGCCCATTAGTGTCAGAGCCACAATCAAACCTCATCAGTTCTATTGTTTGGATTTAAGGAACAAATCAAACTCCCGAGCATTTGTGTTTTGTTCTTTTTGACCGAATTGGGGGGAGGGTGAGTGGGGGGTGGTGTGGAGCTGTGGAAAGACTATTCTAAATCTGACACTTTATTGTTCGAGTACGAAGCCCAAGTGTCTTCTAATAAAAATACGCACAGCCCAGGTCACTTCGCACACTCGTTTGATTGTCTGCCAGCAACGTATTTCCCATCGAGAGACAGTAATACTGAGAGGCAAGTGAGTGTGAGGAGGAAACTGGTGAACACATCAGTCTACATATCTGGCAGTCCAACCCACATTGACACTTCACCTCCTCCAAACCACCACCCCTCCCCCTTCCCACTCCATGGTGTAACTGGACTGCTTTCAACTGCGTTGCTCTCGGTTTGGTGGTTTACTGAAACCTTATCACAGGTAAGAATGTGTCAAGACTTGACTTGACCTCTTTGTTCTATGATGTGTTAAGTGGAGCCATGGTGAAGTGCCTCCATGTTTCACTTGAGTTTGGTGCAATGGGTGCTACTGTGTAGAATAATAAACTCGGGTCAGGTCAAGAGAAGTACAAGTGCATTGAATTAAATGCTAAATTTAACTGATCTGCATTTGTGTAGCTGTGACTTGGTATCGGTTTTACTTGCTCTTTACTGTTTTTACTTTTTATTTGCTGTTGAAAACTGTTACTACAATACAGAAGGTTATTTCTGCTCATTTTCTTACTCGGGGTCTGAAATTGCTAAATGTGCGTTCCGTGGTGTGTTCCGTTTTAACAGTCCCAGATCTGATCGATTTCAAGATCATCACCCTTGTATTCAAATCCCTCCACTCCTCTGCAACCCCCTACCTACCTCTCTGACCTCTCTCCTCAAAACAGTATCCATTGCTTTCCTTCCTCTGGGTCTGGCCTCCCCCTCTTCCCCCGAGTCCTCCGCTCCA